AGGAGGAGGAGGAGGAGGGAGGGTCGGGGCGATTGCTCATGAGTGGGAGTCTAGGGATGATCGATCGTATTTCTGGGCCTCTAAGGGACGACCGTGCGATCGCGCCGTCTGGCAGCAGACAGCCTGGTCGGAGTATGTCACCACTACGGCAAAAGGATCAGCTAAGGGAATGTGGGTGTCAGGTATGGTTCTTCTGGATCGATTGAAATCTTTGAGAGAACGCGTTTCAAGAGCGCTTGCCTTGGGAACACTCGGCAGCGCGCTTCAAACCGAGCGGTGGTCCCCCTCCCCCAACACTCGGCGCCGTCGATCAAAACCAAGGGGACTCCCCTCCCCCCCACCCTCCCGAACACCCCCCCCCCCCCCCCAAGGGGGGGGTTCAAATCCTCCCCCCTTTCGGCGCTGGCGCCAGCAGCGCCCGCGGCGGGGACGCAGCGACGATGACCAGAGGCCCCCCCCCCCCTTCGGCGCCGGCGCGCGGCGGCCAGCAGCGCCGGCGCTGGCGCCAGCGACGGCGGGGACGCAGCGACGATCACCACCACTACCACCACACCACCACCCCACCACCACCACAACCACCACCACCACCACCATCGCTCCAGCCCACCACCACCACCACCACCATCAACCCACCACCACCACCACCAACACACCACCACCACCACCACAGCCACCACCCACCACACACCACCACAACCACCACCACCCCACCACTCACCATCACCACCACCACCACCCACCACCACCAAAGCTACCACACCACCACCACCACCACCGCCACAACCACCACCACTACCAGCAGCACAACCCACCGCCACCACCACAAACCACCACACCACCACCACCACACCGCCACCACCACCACCACAACAAACGTCCACAAACCACCGCCACCACCACAACCCACCACCCACCCACCACCACAAACCACCACCACCGCCACCACCACCACCACCACAACCCACCACCACCACCTCCACCGTCGTCCTCGTCGACGCTCCCCGCCACCGCCGCCCGCCGCCGCAGGCGCCGGCGCTGGCCAAGAAATGGAAATCGTCGTCCCCACCGCCGTCGCCAGCCGCCGCCAACCCAAGCGCAGCGCCGGCCCGAGGAGACGGGAAGCAGGGGGAGGGGGGGAGGGGGGGGGGGTTCGAACCCCCCCCCTCCATCCAGGGGGGGGGAGGTCCCCCCCCCTCTTCCAAGCGACCACAGAACGCGCTCTTTCAAAGCTTTCGAGCAAGTGGGCCATCATTGGCTTCTGGAAGCAGCTGTGGCAACAGGATTCCGACTCGGGCAGCTGAAGTTGAATATCGGTTTTTACAGAAGCGAGCGGTTTTGTTGCTCGGGCCATGTTGTCTCGTCGCCGTTGAAGGTTGAGCAAACGATTTAAAGATTTTAACTGGCGATGGTTGGGCAACGTGCATGCTCAAGCTCATTTTGATTCGGCCTCTGGATCCGGTGTGTTGAATGTGCCGCACCGTCGTGCCCACAGTGGTCGTCGACGATTTACTTTTGCACAGGATCGGGTCGCAGTCTAGAGTCACTCGGGAACTGGTGCAGGCTTCGTTGGCGTTGCAGGCGGCGCTAGCAGCAGTGAGTTCATGTCTGCACGCTGATGAATCACGAGTGTTGCGCAATGGTGTGGGAGTGCGTGACGAAGTGGCACGGCTTTTGCATACTAAGATGGGGATAAAAGCTACTCAGCACGAGAGGAATACACGTCGGTCGGAAGAAGTAGGTAGAAACATGAAGTAGGAAGGCGGATATAGTAGATTGGGCCCAGGTTCTCCAGGATAATAACAAAACACAGCAGAACATGCCGATTCTTGAAGTAGGAAGTAGGAAGGCGCTTGAAGTAGATTGGGATCTGGGAATCCAGAAATACCTACTTTCAACGACCGGCGTGTATCGGGATTTATTATTCGAGTGGCCGTCGTCTTGGGCATACTGTGCGTACAGAAAGACTCCGTGGGGCTCGGCAGCGTCTGCGTTGGAGGCGTCTATGACGTATGGTATGAATGTCACTGGGTGTTCCACATCTACACGTCGGTCGGAAGAAGTAGGTAAAAACATGAAGTAGGAAGGCGGATAAAGTGGATTGGGTCCAGGCCCTCCCAGAGAACAAAACACAGCAAAATCATGACGATTCTTGAAGTAGGAAGGCGCTTGAAGTAGATTGGGATCTGGGAATCCAGAAATGCCTACTTTCAACGACCGACGTGTAATCTTGAGGAGACCATGCGCAGCACTGCTTTTTCTGCCCTTACGGGGGCGACCGCAGGGAAGCCTCGGACAGTAACTTTGTTGTGAGAAAAGGATGCAGATCCGATGTTCCGTGCCACGCGTTTGCCTGTTCTCACGCTCTGTCGAGCGATATGGGAGGGTTGGGTTCGGAGTCACGTGGTGCGGGACGGGATGGGAGGATCTGCTGATGTCTCTCTGTGGACGCAGATAGCTGGCCCGTTCAGTGCGTGTCGGCTCTCTCTCGCTCGTGTGGGATGGTCTGTGAGATCTGCGTTCGTCTGGACCACTCATGACGGGATTTAATTGGATGTGTCAGTTGTGTGCCCCAGGGTGATCCGACATTTTCTCGTGCAGGCTGCCACGGCCTGGCAAAGGCGACAGGTGGCGAAGCACGATGGTTTGAAGCACCTCGAGTGTGGTGCTGTTTGGTTGCCCCTGGTCCAGGCGGTCTTTAGTGGACGGCCTCGCTGTGGCAAAAATCGTGATCTCCCCACCCTGGGGCCCGAAGCTCGTGCCAACCTCAGATCGTGTACTGAACAGCGAGTGCCTCGTGTGCAGGTTGTCAGGCACGTCGGTTCACAGGCACTTCGAGTGCCAGCTGGGCCAAGAGTTGCCTTGCCCGAGCGCGTTTGCTCCACCAGTCCGGGCTCGGGATCGGCCCCAAGTCCGAGTGCTTCTGGAGCGGACTTTGTGGCCCCTTCCGCGTTCCTCTTGGAGGCCCCCTGCCCAGGACGCCGCCGTTTGGCATCGGCACGCGGGCCCTAGGGCCCTGTCGGCCAAGGAAGCTTTCCTGGAGGGTTCTTCTTCTGAGAGCCAGTGGAGCATTCTATGTTGTACGGCATGGGCCGTGGTCACTTTGTCAGACAATGCCCCGCTTGGGGTAGAGGACATTTTGTACTGTACGTGCTCGCATGCTGTCTTTGACACTGACGGTGCTGAATTGGAGGCATTGATCTTCCTTGTTCAGAATGCAGTACCCCCGATTACGGCTGCGACGGGTTCCGATTGTTTGTTTCGTGGAGTGACGGAGAGAGGGGAGCAGGCCACCACGGCCCATTCTTCTGCTTGGGCTTGTCGGTGGAGAGCCTTTTGGAGGTCCCTGGAAGACTTCGGGGGCCTCTGTGAGGCTGGCCTGTCGATTCGCAAGGTGAAGAGTCACTGCACGATGGTAAACGTAGAAGCTGGCCACATCACGAGGCGTTACAGATACGGCAACTTTCATGCTGCGTCTGGGCTAAGTATGCAGGCCAGCTTGCGCGTGCGCCTGAGGAAGATAGGAGACGCAAGCAGCATGCTGAGCAGTTTGTTGAGCAGGTGGGGCACAGACTGGGGGGGGGGGGCGGTGCACATGTGGACGCGCGTGACACTACACACGTGGCGTGCCGCATGCGGTTCCGTACGCAACCCTCCCCTGTTGTGGTGCCCGAAGTTTTGTCGCATGATTTAGAGGGCCTGCCTCGAGGCCTTGGTGTGCGTGCTGCCGTTTTGTGCCCCCCGCGTCCGAAGTTTGCCCTGGTCGATCTCGACGCGCGCGTGTGATGCCCACGTACGGCTGCAGCAGCAAGGTTTGAAGGCACACCGTTTGGTGACGTTTCGGGTCGAGGAGTCCCTGCCAGAAATGGCTCACCCTGTTGTGGCGTGCTCGCACTGTGGTGCTCACAGTGCTCGTCAGGTGAAAGGATTCCTCGACCCCTGTAGGAAGCCTGGCACGCATGGCCAACAGGCTGTCCGAAGAATGTGCCAAGGCTATTTGCCAGGGGTCGCTGGCAAAGTGCCAGCGGTGGTGGCGCCGCTCGAATGCCCTCAGGGCATGCCAGGCGGCGGTGCACCTGGACAAGGACTGGTGTCGCCCTCAGAGGTGGGCCCCACTGCTTCGGGAAGAAGAAGAAGAGACGGCGGGGGAGGAGGATGAGAAGGAGGAGGAGGAGGAGGAGGAGGAGGAGGAGGAGGAGGGGAGGAGGATGAGGAAGGGGAGGAGGAGGGACGAGCAGGACCCCACCCCTCCCCCTGCCCTCTCGTCGCGAAAAATCGTGACGGGCGGGTTTGGGCCGTTTTCGGCCTCCGGGGGCCCTGACCAGGCCCCAGCACCGTCAAAAAACTGCCCGGGGCCCAGACCTCCAGAGGTCCACGTTGAGAACAAACCGCGGCGTCGGAGTTCTTGGCCTTCCACCTGTCCCATCCGCCCCCCTGGGCCAACGAGGGGGCCGTCACGGCTCGAGGCCGAAGTCTAGCCTCTCCCCCACGGATGCCCTCCTCCTCCTCCTCCGCCTCCTCCTCCTCCTCCTCCTCCTCCTCCTCGCCTTCTCCTCCACCTCCTCCTCGTCCTCCTCCTCCTCCTCCTCCTCCTCCTCCTCCTCCTCTTTGTCATCGTCGCCCCGCCCCCTGTCAGTGCGGACGGGGGAAGAAGGCAGGGAGGATGCGGGAGGAAGAAAAGGCTGGTGAGGATGGATGGGGGAGAGATGCGGCGGGATGAGGGGGAGCAAGCGTGATGGTGATGATGATGAGGATGATTGTGACGATGCTGATGATGATGGCGCTGATGATGATGCTGATGACGATGGTGATGATGATGGCGTAGCGATGGTGATTATGACGATGACGATGGTGGTGGTGACGACGATGATGATGATAACGATGGTGGCGGTGATGAGGACGACGGTGGCGATGGCGATGATGATGGCGCTGATGGCGATACTGGTGAGGGGGGAGGCCTTGCCTCGACCAGCTCGCACACCATGACGCAATGGCACGGTCCAGCTCGGAGCTGGGCGTACTAGATGTCGAAGCGCGGCGGACATTAACCAAGGAGTCCGTGACCCCCCCGCGAATGCGGTCGTACTTGTCCTTGAACTTTTCCGCGCCCGTGGAGTCATCCCTGTCAGCGCCCGCCAGCTTCAACGCCCTGGTATTCGGGGAGCCGAAACCGACCCACTTTGCGCGCCATCTGCGTTTGTTCCAAGCGGATGGTGTTGGCGGCCGCATGCAGCGGGCACCCGTGCTTGTATTTGAACCCGCTCTTGGCTTCCATGTGCTCGGACGAGTCGTAGCGCGAGGAGTGGATCACGCCGAAGTGGGGCTCTGACCCTAGCGAGTCGCACCGGGCGCCGTGCCAGAACAGGTCGTGAATCTCGTGGGCTTTGCCGTGGAACATGCAGTGCTGGACGTGGCTGAGGCGGTCGAGCGCGTCGTACATGTCGTCGTCCTTGCCACGCGCGTCGTCGCTCTTGCTGAATTTGTCGTCTTACTTGTCCGATTAATCGTCCAGAGCGGCGTTGCCGTCGAACTTGTCGAACCTGTCGTCGTCCTTGTCGGCTGCGTCGCGCAGGTCGCCGAACTTGGCGGAATGTTCGTCAATGTCGTCGCGCTTGGCGAAGTCCTTGCCGTCCAAGACGAAATGGTCGTCCTTGTCAGTGTCGCCGTCCTTCTCGGAATAACCGTGCATGTCGGAAATGCCATCGGACTTGCCGGATTTGCCGCCGAGCTTGTCGTAATGGCCGTCGGACTTTGTAGCCTTGTCGTCGAACTTGGGGGCGCACCAGTCGCAAGAGCCGTCCGCGTCGCCGTCCAAGTCGCAAAGGGCGTTCCACAGAGGGCGAAGTCGAACCCGAATGCGATGCCAAGCGACAAACTGGGCACCGCGGGGCAAGACGCCGAGCCTAACAGCGCACAGTTGAGCGCGATGGTGCGAGAACGGCCCGGAACTGCAAACGAGGAGGTCATATAGCCCAGCGCGAAGGACAAGCAACAGGAACCAGCCGCGCAGCGACCAGCTGGACTACCGAGAAGTGCGGCAGCACCGTCCGCTGCAACATGGCGCCAATAGCCGTGGTGGGTGTATGGATCGGACCCAAGGGAGAACGCCGATTCCGGGAGGAGGAGGATGATGATGATGAGGAGGAGGAGGAGCAGGAAGGGGAGGAGCAGAGCATGCGGGGGAGAAAGAGGAGGAGGAGGAGGAGGAGGAGGAGGAGGAGGAGGAGGAGGAGGAGGAGGAGGAGGAGGAGGAGGAGGAGGAGGAGGAGGAGGCTGGGCGGACGCGCCGCCGCGGCTGGGGCGAACGGAGCTGGGCGCGCCGCGGCCGCGGGGCCCTGGGCCACCCTGGCCCGACGGCGGCTGGCGGGCGCAGAGCTGCGGACGGCGCCAGTGGCGGGCGACCGGCGCTCGCGCTCGGCAACTCCATGCTGTACGTCGCCGCCGTGCTCCCGAGCTTGCGAGGTAGAGGCCCGGGTCGGCGCACCCCCTCGGCTCCGGGGCTTGCTAGCCGCTGAGCGGCGTGCTTGTCCTGGGGTTGGGAGGTTGCGCTGGCTCCCGATCAAAGTGCTTCTAGCGCGCGGCAGACACGCGGCCGCCGCAGGAGGAGGAGGAGGGGCAGGAGGAGGAGGAGGGGGAGGAGGAGGAATAGGAGGAGGAGGAGGGAGGGAGAAAGGGAGGAGGAGGAGGATCGGACCCTGGGGAAACGCCGATTCGGCCTCGATCGGCCGGCTGACGAACCCATGGCTGAGCAGCGCAGTGGCGCGCGCACGCGACGGCCGCTGCGGGATCGACCGAGCACCCGAGCAAAAAATGGTGATAACTACGAAGATGCTGCTGATGCTGCTGGTCATGCTGCTGCTGATGATATGACAATGATGATGATGATGATGGTGATGATGATGATGATGATGATGAGGATGATGACGATGACGATGATGGATGATGATGATGATGATGATGATGATGATGATGATGATGATGATGATGACGATGACGATGACGATGACGATGACGATGATGATGACGATGATACTGACGATGACGATGAGGATGATGATGACGATGATGCTGATGATGACGACTATGATGATGCTTCTGCTGCTGCTGCTCCAGATGATGATGACAATGGTGATGCTGATGATGCTGATGCTGATGATGAGAAGGGTGATGATGGTTATGATGGAAATGATGATGCTGCTGATGATGCTGATGATGCTAATGATGATGACGGTGATGATGCTGATGACGATGATGCTGATGATGACGATGATGCTGATGCTTCTGCTGCTGATCCTGATGATAATGAGGAGGGTGATGATGATGGTGATGATGAGAAGGGTGTTACTGGTGATGATGGAACCGATGATGCTGCTGATGATGCTGATGACGATGACGATGATGACGACAATGGTGATGATGAGAATGGTGCTGATGAGGATGATGATGAGGATCATGCTGATGATTATGATGATGACAACGAGGATGATGGAGAGCATGGTTATGCTGCTGATGATTATGGTGATGATGTTGATGATCATGATGACGATGTCGAAGAAGATGACGATGAACAGTATGATGATGCTGCTGATGGTGATGATGATGGAGACGATGATGATGCTGATGATGAGGAAGAGGAGGATTAGGATGAATATTCTAAAGCTGCTGATGATGATGATGACGATGGCAATGACGATGCTGATGACGATGATGCTGCTGATGATGATGATGAAGATGATGGTAATGATGGTGATGATGGAGGTGCTGCTGCTGATGACGATGACGAGAATGACGATGGTGCTGATGATGTTGATGCCGCTGATTATGATGATGATGATGCTGCTGATGATGATGAAGATGATGGTGATGATGATGATGATGATGATGATGATGATGATGATGATGATGATGATGATGATGGTGACGATGATGCTGATGCTAATGCTAATGCTGATGCTGCTGATGATAACTATGCTGATGATGTCAATGATGCTGGCCAGGCAGATGCCGCGACGGCGCCGCAAAGGCAGCGGACCGAGCGGGGCCTTGAGCAAGTGCACGTCCACGCACGGCTGCCCCAGGACCTACCGCAACGGGCGCGGCTTGCCGCCCGAGCCCCCCCACAACACCGAACAGGCCGCGCCGCTCGACCGCGCGAGGGGGGGGGGGGGCGGGGGGGCGCCGCGCAGCCGGCACGCGGCGCCCCTCCTCCTCTGCTCCTCCTCCTGCTCCTCCTCCTCCTCCTCCTCCTCTTTCTCCCCCAACTCCTGCTCTTCCTCCTCCACCTCCCTCCTCCTCCTCCCTGCTCCTCCTTCTCCTCCTCCTGCTGCTCCTCCTCCTTCTCCTCCTCCTGCTGCTCCTCCTCCTGCTCCTCTCCTTGCCCCCAACTCCTCCTCCTCCTCCTCCTCCTCCTCCTCCTCCTCCTCCTCTTCCTCCCCTCCTCCTCCTCTCCTCCTCCCTCCTCCTCCTCCTCCCTCCTCCTCCTCCTCCTCCTCTCCTCCTCCTCTCCTCCTGCTCCTCCTCTCTCTCCCCCTCCTCTCTTCCCCTCCTCCACCTCCTCCTCCTCCTTCTTCTCCTCCTCCCCCTCCTCCTCCTCATCCTGGTATCCTCGTCCTCCTCCTCGTCCTACACCTCCTCCTCCTCCTCCTTCTCCTCCTCCTCCTCCTGCTCTTCCTCCTCCTCCTTCTCATCCTCCTTCTCCGTCTCCTCTCCTCTCCTCTCCTGTCCTCCTCTTCCTCCTCCTCCTGCGACGACGACGACGACCATGGCGACGACGACCACCACGTCGACGGCGTCGTCTCCCTCTTCCTGTCCACCTCTCTTTCTCATAATCCCTGCTCTCCCCTGCTCCTATTGCTTCTCCTCCTCCTCTGACGAAATTGGGTACGGTCGGGCCCACACCTCCCATCGGTGGCGGAGATGGGGTGGAGAAGGGTATGTATGTGTCGCGCGCGCGGGAGAGAGGGAGAGAGAGAGAGAGCGAGATAACAAATACATACATACATACATACATGCATGCATGCATGCATACATACATACATACATACATACATGCATGCATGCATGTATGCATACATACATACATACATACAAGCATGCATCCAGCCATCCATCCATCCATCCATCCATCCGTCCATACGTACATACGTACATACATACACACATACACATACACATACACATACACATACACATATACACAGATACACACGTATATGTGTGCATATATATATAGCAACAGCAGTAACCATACACAGAAAATACACAACAAGGGAAGGAGGAAGGGATTGAGAGAGAAAGGGAAGAGGAGGGGGGGAGACGAATGAATGAATTCCCTAAGAGGCGGGAGGGAGGACTGCAACACTAAACTAGATGTGCTGCCCCTCAGTTGAAGTTCCACAACGTCGGGGGGAATACACGGCGCTGAACCATAACACTCAGTGGCGCCGCACCCAGTCGAGCCATGGGCTCACATAGCCTTTTTCAGCGACGGCCCCTCGATCGACGATCAGACTGGCGGGGAGCAGGTAGGTGGCGCACGCGGTGGTAAGCGCGACGATCCAGTATTGGTTGGCGTCGCCGGAGCAGCCTCGGACGACGCCGCGGAAACCGTTGATTGGGTTTTGCTCCCGGCCGTGGACAGTGAACTCCGTGCCGACTTGAATCCCGAGGTCAGGGTCGGTAGGGGTCGAAGGGATAGGATCGGCCCATGAGCCCCTCAAGGCGGTGCGTGGCGCGTCTTGGCTCGCGTGCCCCGCGTCCGCAGCGGGGGCGGGGCCCGGGTGGGCAGGCGGCGGTTTGCGGCGCGGACGCGGGCGGCGACGGCGGGGTCGTGGCCCAGTAGCGCGCGCAGTGAGTGCGTGGATCGTGGTTCGTGGGGCATCGGCAAGGGTGGTGCTCACTGACCCCGATCCATGACCTGCGGGCGAACGGCGGGTGGGCAACGCGAGGGCCGTGGCCCGTGAGCGTGCGGCCAGAGCACGGCCAGAGGGTGTGTGCTGCTCGCCCTGGACTGCGTTCGCAGGGCCTGCCAGTGGCGGGCGAGGTCGCGCCAGCGAAGAAGAGCGCGACGAACTGCATGAAGACCGCGCGCAGCGCGAACGCGGCCTGTTTGGGAAAGGCAAGGCCCGCCGCACCTGCCGTGGGCGCTCCCGATGAACAGGGGGTTGCTGCCGACGAGCACGAGGGCCCGGCTGGCCACTGGAGTGGCGCGGCGGGCCCAGGGAAGCCCTAAACCCGAGAGACGAGGCCCGGGACCTGGAAGACTGCGGAAAGCGAGGCCGTGCCGACGGAGCAGAACAGGCTGCCGAGGATCACGGGGGTCGCGGCGAAGCACGCGGAGAGCTTGCCGATGCCATCGTGGATGCCGGATGCGACCTTGTTGAAGAGCGGCGGGACGCGGAAGACCAAGTTCAACGGGCTGCTGCTGTTGATCTTCGGGGTCTGGCTGGCCGCTGTAGCGGCGCGGCGGCCTCGTGGACGCACGTGAGCGCGTAGCTCGTGCAGTTCACCCCGAAGACGTTGTACGTCGTCTCGGAAATCTTGAAGGGCGCCCCAAGGCCTGGGAGAGGCGCGCGGCGGAGCAGGAAGGGCATTTCAATACAGGATGGGCACGCGGAAGACGCACTCGTCATGATGGACAACAGGAGTTTGCTGCTCAGGACACGGCTGTCGCGGAGGTCGCCGTACTGCATGAAAGCCAGTTTCCACCCTCCGGAATCTTGCCCGTCTCGCATCGGGAGCGGCAAAGAGGGGGGTGTCGAAGAGGGGGGTGTGCAAATCATGACCGTCGGCATGTGCGCGGCCCAGCGGGCGGGCCAGGGACGTAATGAAATAAGAAGAGGCGCCATGAGATCTGGGGAAATATCATGGCCCACGCCATGATATCCATCCCCCCCTAGTCATCACCCCCCTCTTTTCCGCCCCCGATCGCAGCTGAGGAACTGGGCCGTGACGAGGTCACCACGCGCGGTGCGAACACCCGCGGGCGGCGGCGCAGGCCACTGCGGCGGAGGGTGGCGGGGAGGTAAAGGGACACGAGCTGGTCCCAGGGTAACGGCCCCGGCTGCCGTCTCACCGGGCTGGGGGGCGCGCAGGGTTTCGTGCCCTGGCCACGCTCTGTTCCCGCAGGAACTCGGACAGAGACTAGAGAGAGAGAGAGACAGAGAGAGGTAGATGAGAGGCAACCCGATGAGGAATGTGAGGAGGAGGAGGACAAGGAAGAGGAGGAGGAGGAGGACGAGGAGGAGGAGGAGGACCAGTGCAAACCCAAGAGTCATCAACGATGTTGGAGTTGACCCTCCCTCCAAGCTCTCTCTTCATAAGCCCCTACAGCGTTTCATTCTCATTGAAGGAACTGCCTCGTTGGAAAGCCCTGAAACATGCCAAAACATTGTTCTCGTGATTTCAACGCCACGGATCAACCTGACTGCTGCGTCTTGACGATCTGGAACCGTGACAGATAGTCATTTTTGGGACTTCAACACCGCAAATCAGCATAACTGGTGCACCCGCGTGATGCTGAATCCGTCCAAAACACAATTTCTGGTACGCAGATCATGGGAATCCGCGAAACTCTTGCAATGTTTTAAACGAATGTGCGAGGCGCTAAGGCGAGATCCACATTTTGAAAAGGAACCGCCCTCAATCCGTGAAGCTCTTGCAATGTTCAAAACGAATGTGCGCGGCGCTAAGGCGAGAACCACATCTTGAAAAGGAGCCGCCCTACATCCGTGAAGCTCTTGCACTGTTATAAACCAATGTGCTCGGCGCGAAAACGAAAGCCACGGTTTGAAAGCCACCCGCCCTCCGTCCGCGAAGCTCATGCGATTTCATTGAACGAATGTGCGCGGCGCTGAGATGAGAACCACATTTCAAAAACCACCCACTCTCCATCCGTGAAGCTCGCGCACATGTTTGAAACGAATGTGCGCGGCGCTAAAGCTAGAGCCACATTTTGAAAACCACACGCCCTCCATCCGTGAAGCCGTTGCCACTTTTTCAGCTTCAGAGCCATGAGTGGTGAGGAAGTCTCAGCCGAAACGCCCGGACCGCCCCAAAAACTGGCCTCGGGGTGCGACAGGGAGAAATTAGTTATAAAGAAAAGGAATGGAGGAGGAGGAGGAGGAGGAGGAGGAGGAGGAGGAGGAAGAGGAGGAGGAGAGGAGGAGGGAGGAGGAGGAATGTGAGGAGGAGGAGGAGGAGGAGGAGGAGAAGGAGGAGGAGGAGAAGGAGAAGACGAGGGCGAGGAGGATAGGAGGAGGAGGAGGAGGAGGAGGAGGAGGAGGAGGAGGAGGAGGAGGAGGAGGGGGAGGAGGGGGACATGGAGGGGGACATAGAGGAGCAGGAAGAAGACGAACACGATGGCGTCGGTGAGAGCACGACGGGAGGGGAGGACGGTAGTGGCAAGTCGGGAGGGAGGGCGGGAGCGAGGACGGGAGCGAGAAGGGCAGGAGGAAAATAACGTCGACGGCCTCGTGCACCCACCAGTTCACGATGGGCGCTCCAGCGCGGAGGCGGACCTCCTCGGGGCGCGGGCCGGCGGTGGGGGCGGGGCCCATAGAAAGTAGAGGAAGGGTGGGAAGGCGCCTGCCCCTCCTCCTACTCCTCCTCCACGTCCTCCTCGTCCTCCTCGTCCTCCTCCTCCTCCTCTTCCCCCTCGTCCTCGTTCTCGTCCTCCTCGTCCTCCTCGTCCTCCGCCTCGTCCTCCTCGGCAGCTTCCTTCTCCTCCTTTTCGTCCTCCTCCTGCTCCTCCTCCTCCTTCTCCTCCTCTTCGTCCTCCTCCTCCTCCTCCTCCTCCTCCTCATCGTCGTCCTCCTCCTCGTCCTCCTCGTCCTCCTCCTCGTCCCCCTCGTCTCTTCATCTTCGTCCCCCTCCTCCTCCTCCTGATGCTCCTCCTCCTCCTCCTCCTCCGCCTCCCCGTCTTCCTTCTCGTCCTCACCTCAAGAAGCCTTGGATTAGATAGTTGTTTTGCCCACCCATCCCCCTGACCTGGCTAAAACCTGTCCCGGGGAAGGGGTCGGGACTTCCGGGGACTCCGTCGCTCCCTCTCCCTCGTTCTCATTGGCATGTCTCACTAGCTCTCGCCGCTGTTCTTGCCCTTGCCCTGGCCCTTGCTCCAGCCTGAGTCAAGCAGGGTTGCCTCGAAAGACCGTTTCGGCTGTCACCGATTGCCGAAGCAATCTTACGAGGCAGCCCTCTAGAACAGCGTCCTCGCACACGTCGCGCCTTCCGCCAAAACATCAGTCTGTCATAAAAAACAAGGGTTGGTGGGAATTTCGTGCCCTCTGTCACCAAAACAACGAACCTCCCCTTTGAAAACGACCTCCGCGATCCACGCCGACGCAGCGCAATGTCACCCCTCCTCGGGAGGTCTCCGGAGGCCTCCAGAATTCTCTGGAAGGCTCTTCAGGCCTCCAAGAGCAAGAGAAGCGACAGAGCCGCAACAATCAGCACTCGACGCAGAGATTTACCATGTGCGCATCTCATAATATATCGCTCTCTCTCTCTCTTTTGCGTGTGTGTGTGTCCGAGCATGGAGCATGGGCATGTCGAAGGGTGATCTGCGCCTGCTGCCTCGCGGTGACCATGAGGCTCTGAAGAGAGACGCGTCCAGAGCCACAAACTGCCAGTCTACTCGAAGGGTCCCACCACTCTGGTCGCAAAAAGGGCCCGTGCCATGCCCCCAGGAAGCCCCACCCATTGAGAGGCCAGGGCGCCATGCCCGCTTCACCGCGGTGAACATGTGGCCCTGGCTCGAGACGCTCCTAGTGACACCACTCCTCCTCCTCCTCCTCCTCCTCCTCCTCCTCCTCCTCCTCCTCCTCCTCCTCCTCCTCCTCCTCCTCCTCCTCCTCCTCCTCCTCCTCCTCCTCCTCCTCCTCCTCCTCCTCCCCTCTCCTCCCCTCCTCCTCCTCCTCCTCCTCCTCCTCCTCCTCCTCCTCCTCACTCCTCCTCCTCCTCCTCCTCCTCTCTCCTCCTGCTTCTCTCTCCCTCCTCCCTCTTCCCCCTCCCCTCCTCCCTCCTCCCTCCTCCCTCGTCCCTCTTCCTCCTCCTCCTCCGCCTCGTCTTCCTCCCCCCCTCGAGAAGTCCCACCACCCTAGGCGCGAACGGGCCCATGCCATACCCCCTGGCGGCTTCCCTCCTGGGTGGTCCACATGGCACGTCTGCTGTACATCGCAGTGGCCACAAGGATCCGACGGGAGACGCATCCAAAGCTTCAGACGGCCGCTTCGCCCGAGACACCCCCACAATCTGGCCGCGAACGGACCCGTGCCATGGCCCCCTAACGGCCTCCCCTTAAGTAGTCAGACGGCAATTCCTGCTATACCGCCGTGATCCCGAGGCTCTGAAACGAGACACGCCCACAGAGGTGAATGGGTGTTCCGTTGGAGATGTCCTCACAATCTGGACGGGAACGGGCCCGTGTCATCCACCCTAGCGGCTCCCACTTGGGAAATACAAATACCATGGAACCCTGAAAAGACACAAGGCTCTGAAAAAGACGCGTCTAGAACCGCGAACGGTCCCGTGTCATACTTTCATGGCTGCTCCCCCTTGGATGGTCCAAGTGCCGTGCCGGCTACATCGCTGTTATCGTAAAGCTCTGAACAGGGTGTGAGAGGGAGTGAGTCTGTGTGAGCGAGTCCGAGTATGAGCGAGTTTGAGGTTGAGCGAGTCTGACTGCTGAGTAGGTCTAAATGTTAGAAGTCTGGTGTGAACAACCCAATATGAGTGGGTCTGAGTGGGCGAGTCGCAGAATGAGAGACTCACAGCATGAGTGAATCTGAATGTGAGCGAGTCGGAATGTGAGTAAAGCTGAGTAAGGGTGAGCCTGAGTATGAGTGGTCTGATAGGGAGGCTGAATCTGAATGAGTCTGATGTGGGGGAGTCTGAGTAGGAATAATTGAATACGTTTGGGTCTGAGTGGGTATATCTGATGAGTCTGAGTGTGACAAGCGTGAATAATGTGGAGAGCGGAAGGAGGCGGGTGAGGTGAGTGGGGCCGAGGCGTGACAATAATAACACGAGCCCCATACTTCGGACGTGGGGAAATAACTCGATCCTCGATACCCCCCTTGGTCTAGGGACGGATTTAGAGAGACCGACGAGGACAAACAGACAGAGAGATATAGGAGGGGATGGGGTGGGACATGTACCCCGTCAAAGCGTCAAAATGCTCCTCCTCCTCCGCCTCCTGCCCCCTCCTCCTCCTCATGCCGGTTCTACTCCTGCTCCTCCTGTGACGGCTTTACTTTGTTATTATCCTGTTGTTCCTCTTCATCTTCACTCCTCATCCTCCTCCCTCCTCATCCCTCCTCCTGTTCCTTCTCCTCCTCCACCTATCGTACATTTGTTTGCTTTCGAGCGTATGCGCATGATGGTGATATGGATATACTTTTTACATACAGACATCCACCTACTATATGAATATACATATATATATATATAGATTTATGTATATATGTATATATATGTATACTAGAACCACGCGCGCGCTTCGCGCGCGCTTAGGTTCTAGCTAGGAGGCGAGCTTGAGTCAACGAAAGTCGCAGGGAAGGGGGCAGGGGGAAAAAGGCCAGAGAGCGCTGAAGGATACAAATACTGGAACCCTCTTGTGATTTTGTGGGGGGCCTCGTCCGGCCGCTCGCTGGGAGTTTGACGTAGCTTCTCGGGAGCCTCTGAACCTGTCGGGGGCCTCCTGGAAGCAGGTTCGAAGCATTTTGGGGGCCGATTTGGAGCTTCTCGGGGCCTCCTTTGGGCCTCTTGGGGGTCTCCTGGGGCCTCTTGAGGGGCCTCCTGGGGCCTCCTGGCGGCCTCTTGGGGCGGAAGGCTCGAGCTTGCGGTTCGTGGTCCCCCTCTGGGCCCCCTCTTGGGCCCGTCTTGGGGCCCTCTTGGGCCATCTTGGGCGCCTCTTGGGCCGTCTTGGGGCCCTCTTGGGCTGTCCTGGGGCCCTCTTGGAAGCTTCTTGGGCCGTCTTGGGGCGGTCTTGGGCGCCTCTTGGGCCGTCCTGTAACGTCGGAAAGCCCAAAAGGCGACTTTGTTGAAAATGTACGTTTTACGAAGGGAATGGGTCAATTTTTGCGTCTAGGGGCCCTCTTGGGACGCATGTTGGAGGCTTCTTGGGGCGTCTTGGGGGCGTCCTTGGACGTCTGGGGTCTCCTGGGGCCTCTTGAGGGGCCTCCTGGGGGCCTCCTGGCGGCCTCTTGGGGCGGAAGGCTCGAGCTTGCGGTTCGTGGTCCCCCTCTGGGCCCCCTCTTGGGCCCGTCTTGGGGCCCTCTTGGGCCATCTTGGGCGCCTCTTGGGCCGTCTTGGGGCCCTCTTGGGCTGTCCTGGGGCCCTCTTGGAAGCTTCTTGGGCCGTCTTGGGGCGGTCTTGGGCGCCTCTTGGGCCGTCCTGTAACGTCGGAAAGCCCAAAAGGCGACTTTGTGAAAAATGTACGTTTTACGAAGGGAATGGGTCAATTTTTGCGTCTAGGGGCCCTCTTGGGACGCATGTTGGAGGCTTCTTGGGGCGTCTTGGGGGCGTCCTTGGACGTCTGGGGTCTCCTGGGGCCTCTTGAGGGGCCTCCTGGGGGCCTCCTGGCGGCCTCTTGGGGCGGAAGGCTCGAGCTTGCGGTTCGTGGTCCCCCTCTGGGCCCCCTCTTGGGCCCGTCTTGGGGCCCTCTTGGGCCATCTTGGGCGCCTCTTGGGCCGTCTTGGGGCCCTCTTGGGCTGTCCTGGGGCCCTCTTGGAAGCTTCTTGGGCCGTCTTGGGGCGGTCTTGGGCGCCTCTTGGGCCGTCCTGTAACGTCGGAAAGCCCAAAAGACAACTTTGTGAAAAATATACGTTTTACGAAAGGGAATGGGCCAATTTTTGCGTCTAGGGGCCCTCTTGGGACGCATGTTGGAGGCTTCTTGGGGCCTCTTGGGGGCGTCCTTGGACGTCTGGAGGCCATCTTCAGCATCTCGGAGCCCTCTTGGAGGCCTCTTGGAAGTTTCTTGGGCCGTCTTGGGCGCTCCTGGGGCCGTCTTGTCTGACCGGGGAGGCCTCCGGCAAGCCCCGACGAGCCTCCGGGCCCCCCGGGGTGCACATTTGCGGTCGGGGTCCCGGCCCCGGGCCCCCGGACCCGGTGCGCCGTTATATGTATATAGCCACGCTGATCCTCATGACCCTCATTCGTTTTTGTGCTTCTCTCTCTCACACTCATTACAAACACCATCACCATCATCACCACCGCAATCATATTCATCACCATTATCACCATCAACATCATCACCACCACCACCACCATCATCATTTTCGTCGTCGTCGTCATCGTCGTCGTCGCCATCAACGTCATCGCCACCGTCACCATCGCAAACAACATCACCGTCATCACCATCATCACCACCATATATATCATCACAATCACTATCACCACCACCACGACCATCACAATCACCATGACCACCACCACCACCACCATCATCATCACCATCATCATCATCATCATCATCATCATCATCATCATCAGCAACATCATCATCAACCTAATCAGCATCGTCCCCATCCTTCTCCTCATTCTCATCCTCATCCTCATCACCATCATCACCACAATTACCAGAACCGTCATCGCAATCACCATGATCACCATCAGCATCAGCATCAACATCAACAGTAGCATCACCATCACCATCGTCACCAGCGCAATCATATTCATCACCATTATCATCAACATCGTCATCATCACCACCACCACCATCATCATCATCATCATCATTTTCATCGTCGTCGTCATCGTCGTCGTCGTCGCCATCAACGTCATCGCCACCGTCACCATCACCATCACCACCATATTCATCATCACAATCACTATCACCACCACCACGACCATCACAATCACCATGACCATCACCACCACCACCACCATCACCATCACCATCACCATCATCATCATCATCATCATCATCATCATCATCATCATCAACCTAATCAGCATCGTCCCCATCCTTCTCCTCATTCTCATCCCCATCCTCATCACCATCATCACCACAATCACCAGAACCGTCATCGCAATCACCATGATCACCATCAGCATCAGCATCAACAATAGCATCACCATCACCATCGTCACCACCATCACCGTCACCATCACCATCAGCATCGTCACCATCCTCACCACTTCCTCTTTCTCTCTGTCTCTCCTCCTCCATGCCCTCCTCCGCTTCCTCTTTCTCATCCCACCTGTCACTTCTCTCCCCCTCCGTCGTCGAAGCCGAAGGCAAGCTGCGGCCTGCACGTCCTCGCTGCCCGGGAAAGTGAGGCCGCCGAAGCTGCGCATGGTCACCTCGTTGGCGGGGCGGGGGCGAGGGCGGCACATCGAGGCTCGAGGATCGAGGTCTGATGTTTGGAGGATCGAGGCCCGAGGATCGGAGGTTCGAGGATCGATGTCTGGGGGGCGCTTGCTGCCTCCGTCGGGCCACTCGCACCGTGCGCGCCTCGTGCCGCGCGCCCAACCAGAAGCGCGGATCAAGCGTCGGACCAAAACCAACGAAGTCTTGCATGCTGCCAGCTGAAGCGCGCGACGGCGAGGGACGAGCACGGGCATGCGCGCATGTAACGGTTGAGTTTGGCTCCGACATTAGATGATGTGACGAGGGTGTGAACTCAATTATGTGCGCTCACACGCGCAAGCATTGTATCCCGACGCGGCAGACGGCTGCACTGCGCCATATTCTGCACACATTCGGTATATGCTTGCGCGCAACATGCAATGAATCGAGAACGCTTCCGTCAACACATGAGTTAGCGCGCAAGGTGTTACAACATGGCTCGTAGTATCGTTGCACGTGGTACGTCGACCATGCCGTCCCGTACGCTAGATCGTCACCAATCGGACTGCAGGGGGTCCAACCACGCGCGCTTTACTCATGTCGGGCACGTACGGCCGTGCACCAGGATTCCATATGTGCCGTCTCTCCGCCCTTCTTGCCAGCACGACGGTCCTACTCGAGACAGTGCTGTTCTCATTATCTTTATCCTCGGCATCGTCCGCCGATCTCCTCCTATTCCTTCTCCTTCTTCTCCCCGTTATCCTTGCTTGTTGTTGCCACTAACTTTCTTCTTCCATATCCTGCTCCTACCCAGACCCCTGACGTCATGATCTTTCTATGGCGCGACCCATAGAGGTCTGGACCCATTCCCTGGGACCTGTTTTTCGTCCCGAGTCGTTTTTTTGCCGGTCCCGCGGCCCAATAAGGGCCCCCGGAGGCCGAAACCAGCGAAAAACCTCCCATCGTGATTTTTGTCATGATGAAACTGGACCCTGGACGAGAGGTGGGCGATTGCTTATCCTCGCGAACGCCCTCGGAGAAGCCGAAACTGATGTCATCGTCCGGTCTCGGACGCAAAGCCTAAAAAGGCTATGGCTGACACATAGAGGGAGGAGGAGGAGTGGAACACGACATCAGCGGGACCACTTTCAGTGGGTCTGACATAGCCACATTCGAGATTATGCTCTCCCCGTCTTGGGCCTCTGGGCACCTATCGATTTCTTGGGCACGGAGCAGGGCATCCTTGGAGGCTTTTCTGGAAAGAGACTTGAGAGAATTGTTTAAGGACCTGTCCGACATATGCCCGTCCTCGTCCACTAACACCGTGGTCCCCTTAGTCAACATATCGCGAGGTTGCCTCTCGAGGGGTCCGCCTTACTGAGACAGTCTGCCGCCATCCTTCCGTACGGGACCCATATTACCTGTGATCCGAGGGTGCTCAAATTGTCACGCACGACCGCTAATTCGATGGCGTTGCGACGATCGGCACGACTCCCGGCCGAGTTGCGAGACAGCGTATCGAATATCGACTTCGCATCGACAACAGAGAGGGATGATACTCCCTCCGAGAGTGTGCAGTCTTTGCTCAGCAGAACTGAGAAGGGGGCCTGTGACAGATGCCAATCTGGTCGGCGCGCGTCACCGAACAAGGCATCGCGCCACATAGCGGACATGCACTGAGTATCGGCCGACGCAGCCGATAAAGACAAAGTCTCGGTCGCTCTTGTCGAGGCTATCACACGCTGCAGTCGAGCTGAAAGCCAGCTGAGGAGGGATACTCGAGCACGCTTGTTCTGCCTGATCGCAGCATCGGCGGCGAGCACCATCCACCCTCCCTGAGCACCATTTCTTCGAGCCGAACCAGGGCCTCCAGCATCCGAAACTGCAACAAAAGTGACACTAGCAGGGTCGAGAGGCCAGACAACTATTCTCTGACTGGTCGTGCTTGTAAGATGTTGGACGATCTTCAAACATAGCATAGCATCAGCAACCGTTGGGGAAGGAAGGGCGGCACTTTGTAATGACGCACCCGCGGCTACATCAGGTCGACTCTCACGTCCGACCCACTGGATTTGTGCGGTCATAAGTCTAAAGTGTATGATCTGGGTCAGCTTGCCGCTCCTTAGCGAGTCCGATGGGGGCTGATTGCTCTAAAATTCTAAAGCGCTTTTTTTTTGGGGGGGTCCACCAAGATCCTCCCCCCGGTCTGGCGCGTGTGACGCCCCGCGACATCGGCTTCCCTGGTCTCCCATTTGCCAAAACGGAATCGCGACTGCAAACGGTCCCGGAGCCCATCCTTGTCACCCGGAGCAGTCGCGACGATGAGGTCGTCAACCTCGATCAGAGTCAAAGCGCGAATTCCCCCTTGACTGGACCTCTTGATCCGTAGACAGGGTTCCAAAAGGGACTTTGTAACATCGTCTTGAACTAGCCACTGTGTCAGCGTTCGGTGCCAGAGAAGCGGAGCATCGTTCAAACCATAGATCGGCGCAATCAGTTCGATGAGCTCACCTGGGGCCAGGCTCAGTCCCTGGCAGGGCTCGCAGAAAATAAACCCTTTCGGTCGATGCAAACGGTCTGACTGGCAAAACGCATTCTTGCAGTCCTCTATCTGGAGGTCCCATCCGAGGGAGCATATGGCCTGGAGAGTCACCATGATGCTCTCGGACTGTGGAGTTGGGGAATAAACCTGGCGATCCTCGTGATCCGGATCGCGGTGCCCCTGAACGCACCATCTGGATTTCGCAGCGACCCCGGGCCCCACCCCCTCTTGCGGCCTGAACCTCCTCGCCAATCGAGATCCTAAAACCCTGTCCGGAAACCTCCATCTCACTAGCGCTGCCTCGGCAGCACTCACCATCCTCACAGCGCCTGGCTCAATAATGGCCTTCCTTCCATTCTTTGGCGTCAGAGAACAAAACCCGTCTCTCTTCCTCGGAGAGAGACTTCAAAGTAACTTGAGCTCAGAGCTCCCCGACGCGATGGCGTTCCTGTCTCCTCTTCCTTACCCGTGGAACCCAGGAAAGTGCCCGTGGCCCGAGGGGCCCCAAAATCGTCGTCGAAGTGAAACCAGGAGCAGAGGTCTTCCCGGAGAAGCTCGTCCTGATCGTCCCCAGGTACTTCAAAGTGCCAGGTTAACAGCTCGTCATCCTGGTCCTCTGGAGCCTCGCGTCGGGGCGAGCGAGAGCCATCCCTGGTTGGCTCGGCAGCATCGGCGCGCCCCACTGGCGCTGCAGCTCGGGCTTGACCTACGCTGTCTGACGCGGAAGCTTTGCTCCTGCTACGAATGCAGAACGGTGCGTCGTCCAGCAGCCTAGATCTGGCGGCTATCAACTCTCTCTCAGCACTGGCATCTTGAACCCTCCTGGGGCCCTCCGGGGCTTCCTTTATCGGGGTCAGCCTAAGCTTCTGAGCCGGGGGGGGGCTCGGTAGGGTCGTCACCTCGTCACGGGGTTGGACTCGGCTCGGAACCCTCAAGCATGTCATGAATATTTCGACCCCCCTTTTCGTCAGATCGGACACATCCCATCCTGGGAGACATGCTTCCGCTAGATGGAGAGCGGGTGAGTCGTGGAAGCTCGATCCTCTGGCGCGGGCTCTGGACTTGGCCCCCCGACCTCTTCGGGCACGGGAGGCTCTGGCTCTCGAACAGGAATCGGCACCGAAACGGGCCTTTCCTCCCCCTGGGCGGGTTCCTCCAGATCCCAGGCCTCAGGAGGAGGGGGGCCCTCAGCCTCGACGTCCACCGCCCCGGCGCGACGTCCAGGATTATGCGGCCCCTGCCCGAGCTGCGAGAAAGACGGCGAATCGAAAAGCTCAGCGCCCCAAGCCTCTTCCTTGGTGGTCCACCGAATCTGTTCTTTACTGCATTTAAAAAAAGGCGAGATCTCATGGCGACCCGCGCGGTCGCACCCCGTTGGAAAATCGCGGCCCCTGGACAAGTCCACCTGCTCGTCTGACCCCCGGGGGCCCCTTTGCTGCGGCCCTGGGAAGCCCGCGCTCCAGGAGGGAACATCCGATCCACATGGTTCCTGGCCTTCTGAGCGGCCAACAGTCGGTCCCGGGTGCCTCTTCTCTTTACGCGTGTTTCCTGGCAAAGGCTGAAGCTGGCGAGTTGGAATCCGTGGCCCCGCTGATGACGTCTCCAACCCCCGCCTCGTCCATGGCCTCGGCGAAAATCAGCGACCTTGGCAGTCTTGGACTCTCTCCGAAAGCCATCTGGTAATGTGACCCCCCCCCCCCCTCGGTGTGAATGTCGGTTCTCTTGGCCGCAGCAACTTCGCATGGCAGCTTTTCTATCTCTTCCAGGGAGGTGGGGGCGGCGCCCTGCGCAGCCCGGGCCAAGGCCCTTTTTGCAAGGCCTCCGTGTCGCTCATCTTTCGTTCTGCCGGGGAGATTCAGCATCGCCGACGCGCTGCATACCCCCGGATGCTCCAAGCCCCTCGAGAAAGCCCCCGTCGAACTCAGCGCTCCCGTCAGTCATCGGGATCTCGGGAATTCCAAAGGGCCTGAAAAATATTTGGGACGCCCCCCAAACCTCTTCCGAGGTGGCGGCTATCAACAACGTGCGCACCTGAAGGTTGGAGCCGCGACCTATCAGGTTGAGAACGGGGTGAGTTCCCTCCAGGGCGTCAGTGTAGAAGATGTCAGCCGCGACGAGCTCATTGAAGCGGTAGGTCCTCGGAAGATGCGCCCTTCGGCGCCATCCAGGTCTCGAGCCGGAGTCGCACCTCGGACACTTGAAACTCTGCGAGACCCATCGGATGACCGTTGGCTTGGCCTTTCCGACCCTCAAGGTTCACATGACATATTCCCTCCTCGGGTGTCCCAGGTTCACGTGGGGCTTGTGAAGCTCGTGCTGCGTTTCCTTGGGGAGAACCTGGCCGATTTTCGTGGGGCCCTTGCTGGCCTCTTCGGGCCTCCTGGTCTCACGCTCCTCTTCGGAATCGCCCCCCCCCCTCATCTATGACGCGTGGATCGGCGGACGGCCCAGCCTCAGTGGGCGGTTCAGCCTCGGCCGAGGGAAAGGAGGCACGAGCGGACTGACTTGCAGCTGCCTGTTCGACGCCCTCGGGGAGAGCAGCCACTTAGCCTGGGGGAAAACGTTCAGCTGCTGATGTCCAGGCACCGCCGGTCAACATCGAATGCGGAAGGGTGCTGGGACACGCTCTTCTGCGCTGTGAGAGAAGAAAAGTAAAGGACTGTTGGAGTAAAATCTCGCGGGCTGCACGACGAGGCCTCCGTCCAGAGTCCTGAGACCAAGACTGCACTGATCCCCTCGAATCTCTGACCCCCCCGGCTGACTTAGTATAATCTCTGCCGCTTTCAATTGTCTAGAGAACGCTCCGTGCGGGCTCTCGATCAGAAACGTGCGATTGTGCTGTATCTGAAACACCGCCACCTGAACAAAATCCTTGCCTGCTCCACTCGATCTCTTGCATATGGGCCCATCCTTTCTTCCAGTTGGGGACCCGGGCAACCGAAACGCCGCGGAACTGAGGGGTCATGCCAATGACTTCTGGGGCATCCTTGTCCAAGAGCTTCCACATCTGAGCTCTATCTCAGAATCTCCGGAGATCCCATCCTGTCTTGAGATTTATCGGAGTCGAGCATGGACATCCGCGACGCTCCATCTCGGGCGTAACCCTAGGCGGTGATAGCAACTCTAGCATCAGAGTGCGACCTTGTTGCTGGGGACCCCGTGCCAGGTTCTGCCCTAGTTTCTTCTTGGAGCCCCTGAACCCCCGGCCTCCTAAGTTTCGGAGCGCGTCCTCTCCGACCTTTCTAGGGGCTGTCACCGGAGGCTGAGCCAGAGACCCACTAAGGTGCGGACGGCGGTCCAGCAAGGACCAACTCTTGGGAAGGCTAGAGACAGGGGCCCCAGCAGAGAGCCAGACCGCGACGCTGATGTCGGAGTTTTTGGCGTCATGCAGCCGCGATGCTAGATAAGACGCTGAGGTCCCGGCCCACAATGAGTCCACCAGAGTCGCTGTCCTGCCGGAGCTGCTCGACGTGATCCTAAATCGGCGAATCCCTTGAGTGGGGCACTCGGCATCTTGGCTCTCGCGAGCCCTTAACGCGACGCCAGTCAGTAACGCTCGAGCCTCTGGGGGCTCGAGGTCTTTCCTGGTCCGGTCTCCTCTCCGGGTCACTTCCTCCAGCGAAACTTGCTTTCCGGTCCCCAGGTCCCACGCCCAGGAGTCCAGCACCTGCAATCTCACTCTCAGTTCCTTGTTTCTCTCCCTCAACCCCGAAGCCATGAAACTCTTCACGGCCCAGGGGCTCGGATCGGTCCCGCGGAGAAGGAGTCCTCTGAGATCCTTCTGAAGTCCCGGAGGCAAATCGGAAACGGATCTGATGGCGGTGGAGGTGATGTTGATAGGAGGAGGATGACGATGTTCTGTTTGGCAGCTCTCTGCTGCCTCGGTCGGCCTTCGGCTGGAATATGGAGCGCTTCGAGCTGCGCTCGAGCCGGGGCTCGCACCTGGAGAGGCCCACGTCCGTCTTGAGTTCCCTGAGCCTCAATCGTCCTCGACCTTCATGGCCGCCTCCGGCGTCGCCCGACTGCTGGGCGACCCCGTCAGACCGCCCCGAATGACCTCCATCAGCTCCCTGAACTGCGTCCTGGTGGTCTCCGATTCTCTCTCCTGCTCGGACATCCGCTGTGCGACTTCTGCGCGGCTGGCGTCCTGGTTCCCGAGCAGACCCTCGAGCCCGTCTGCGTTCCTGGTCGACGGGGGGCCCCCGCGCGCAGTCCAGGCGGCAGGCGGGGGCTTGGGCGGCGGAGGCTTCACGGGAATGTCCTCGGGCACGGCCAACCTGGCTCCCTCGCCCTGAGCGCAGCTGGGCGCCCGGGGCCCTGAGATTAGGTAGATCCTGGGCTGTGGGGGGGCGTTTGCACTGACTCCTCCTCGTCCTGGGCGTAGTCGCCGCTCCTCGCCTGCGAGGCCATCTGGATCTCCCGCTGCTCCTCTTCTGCCTTGACGTGCTCCTTCTTGACTGCCGGCCTCTCGGCCTTCGTGCTCTTATCTCCTAGGGAGTCAGCTTGTGCGCGTGCAGTCGCGCCCCGCACTCGCGGCGCTTGATCCAGCGGGCGCGCTGGCTCCCGTGGCTTACATGTTTTTCTTGTTCGCACTTTCCGTGATCCTCCCCCGAAGACCTCCTCCTCCCCGCCACTGGCGCACCGGGTACTCGTCACTCATGGGGGGTCTCCCGCAGAGGAGAGGAATACTTGCAGGGACATGCCAAGACTTGCGAGCGGACTTGCGACGGAAGGCTTTGCAGCTTCGCTGAGGCATCCTGGGTTTACTCTGGTCCTCCTCCCCCTCCTCCTCCTCATCCTCCTCCTCCTCCTCCTCCTTCTCCTCCTCCTTCTTATCCTTCTCCGCCCCCTCGTCATTTGCGTAATCTCATCTTCTTCTCCTCCTTCTTGTCATCCTACGCCTCGAGCTTGAACTCGAACACGCCGTGCCATGACGGAACATCGGCTGCAGTGCATCTTGCGCGTCGACGAATTCTGAAAGTTCATCGCGGCTCGCCTCCTTAGTTCTCGCCTCCTCCTCCTCCTCCTGCTCCTGCTCCTGCTCCTCCTCCTCCTGCTCCTGCTCCTGCTCGTGCTCCTGCTCCTGCTCCTGCTCCTCCTCCTCCTCCTTCTCCTGCTCTTCCTCTACTTTCTCCTCCTCCTCCTCCTCCTTCTCCTCCTCCTCCTTCTCCTCTTCCTCCTCTTCCTTCTTCTTCTCCTCCTCCTTTCCTCCTCCTGCTCTTTCTCTACTTTCTCCTCCTCCTCCTTCTCCTCCTCCTCCTCCTCCTCATCATCATCATCATCATCATCCTTCTCCTCTTCCACCTCTTCCTTCTTCTCCTCCTCCTCCTCCTCCTCCCCCTCCTCCTCCTCCTCCTCTCCTATGAAAACCTGCTTGGACCTCCCCCTCCTCGCACCAGGCGCGGCGAGGCGGGCCCGGCGTCGCCGACGCGTGCGCTCCGGCGGCCGCGATCTCCGCCTGCCCGTGGGGCAGGGGCGTGGGTGCCGCAGGTGTCCAGGGCACGCGGGGTGACGGAGAAAAGGGGGGAAGGAGGGGGAAGAGGTGAGGGGGAGGAGGAGGAGGAGGAGGAGGAGGAGGAGGAGGAGGAGGAGGAGAAGGAGGAGGAGGAGGAAGAGAAGGAAGAGGAAGAGGAATAGAAGGGGGAGGAGGAGGACGAGGAGGAGGAGGAGGAGGACGGGAGAGGAGGAGGGAGAAGAAGGAGGGGGGGCGGGGAGGGGGGGGGAAGAGGGAGGGAGGAGGACGAGGAGGAGGAGGAGGAGAAGGAGGAGGAGGAGGAGAAGGAGGCGGAGGAGGAGGAGGCGGAGGAGGAGGAGGACGAGGACAAGGAGGCGGACGAGGAGGAGGAGGAGGAGGAGGAGGAGGAGGAGGAGGAGGAAAAAGGAGAAACAAGACAGCAGAGCAGGAGGAGGTAGAGGAGGAGGAGGAGGAGGAGGAGGAGGAGGAGGAGGAGGAGGCCGATGAGGAGGAGAAGGAGGAGGAGGAAGAGGAGAAAGAGGAGAAAGAGGAGGAGGAGCAGAAGCAGGAGCAGGAGGAGGAGGAGGAGAGGAGGAGGGGGAGGAGGAGGAGGAGGAGGGAGGAGGAGGAGGCGGAGCCTGACGAATGGGAGCGTGGACGGGCCCCTGTCTGGTACGCATCAGAAGGCCTTTGGGGGGGGGGGGGGTCATGCACCACCCCCAGCCAGCCCCAGAGAGCTTCGACGTCCACCTCCTCCTCCTCCTCCTCCTCCTCCTCCTCCTCCTCTGCCTCCTCCTCCTTTCCCCCCCCCCCACCACTCGCCGCCGATCTGGGGAGGCCCTCCCTGCCTTTCAACAGAGGCCCCCCCTACCCTCCGGGCGGACCGGTGCGCGCCGCAGCCAGCCCCAGGATGGGATGCCAAAGAACTTCCACCAACAAAAACGGCACTGGACGTGGACGTCCCCATTGCTCAGCTGGCGGGGGGATCGCACCGCCTCCCGAACCAAAGCCAGGTCAGAACGATTCAGGATGTTCGAAAATGCCGCGGACGAACAGGATCCGATCGCTATCCGAAAAAGGCGCTCTGGCCCTAGCTAAGACCTCGGCAGGGATGAGCTCAACCCGCTATTCCTCCACATAACTACATTCATACATGCGGTGGTGGATGGTACTCCAGCAGAGGCCGCAAATAGGACAAAGAAGGTGATCATCTTCCAAACTATACCCAAGGCAAGCGGCTCGGTCTGCTGTCCAAGCACCACCGCAGCATGGGTTTCTGATGGGGCCCTTCTCCAGGGCCGAGTACTTCTTGGAGCGCAACTAAGACTTGCAGACGTCGAGGCAGAACCACCCCCCACCCCCCAACCTACATCCATATCCTTCCCCGCCTGCTCTTCCAACTTCCTAGTGGCAGCACGCCTGAGGATGTCCTTCGAAAAGGGCTGGGCTGAAGAAGGCGAGAGAGACCGAGAAACCTTCGCGCGATGCAATGGTGGCGCAGTTCGGCACAGTCCAGCCCAAACGTTGCACAGACCAGCAGAGAACAGTGAGTGGGCCGCTGACAGACTTCCAAGACCCGGGCTTGAGCTTGCCAGTATATTCGGAGAGCCAGAAAGCCGTAGGCTCCCAGTGATAGAAAGCTCCAAGATATCTCTGATACCGAGCCGCCCCAAACTTGTTACTCCATCTGACAATGGGAGTCGCCATGCCATAAGACGTAGGACCATCTTCACAGCAGATGGCTGAGGCAAGGCTGCGGCCACCATGCGACGGGCTGACACATTTTCCAGCATGAGCAAATTCGGGGTCACTCACCCCATGAATCTCGCAACCGAGATTGGCCCCGGCCAAAACACCGCCCGTGAACACCTTCTTAGCTGTGCGGCCGAGGACACGGTGCTGCTTGCGAATTCTGCTTGCACGCTTGCCGAACACAATGCGACGCTGCTTGGTATTCTTACAACTTACAACTGCCTCGAACAGGACGAGTTCTGCCCGCGGCGACGTCAGCCCCTGGGTCAATAGCCCAAGTGGTCCTGCCAGGACCAGCCCAAACCAGAAGGACATCCTCAAGTTCCCGAGCGATGCCGACAACAGATGTTACATCCAACCCGACGGCCTTGCACAGACCACAGGCCGACAGCCCCAATGGCGACAGCGTCGAACACCTCCTCGACTTACCCTGAGACGAGAGCCCGAATCGTCGATGCACAGGTCCCGGCTGGCGCAGGGCTGAAGCTGAACAGCAAAGAAAGCCCGCATACTTCGGAACCCTGAGGTGGCCCGGACAAAACTGGCTGCTACGCCGCAGCCCGCGATGACTCCTGGGACCGCAAGGAAAGGACCCAAAACGAATCCGCTGGTTGATGTAACGGGGCGACTGGTTTGCCGCCAGGCACAGGCGACGCACAACCGAGGGAAAACTTGCACCCTGACGCCGAACTTCAAGATCCTCCAGATCGATGGTTTCGTAAAACTTGTGCACGCCCCATAGAAGCGAGGCGTAAACGAGGCCCTCCTCGACGGCAGACTTGCTCGCCGTCTGGCGCCAAACGACGTCGGATGGAAGCCGTGCCCTGCAAACATGATGCGCAGATTATCCCCCCCCCGCCGCGGGGCATCGTTCCTCCTGCGTCTGCCCCGCAGACGGCGCGGCGAGGTAGAGATGCCGATGGGCCGCGAGCCGCCGATGGGGGTTCGGCAGCATGGCGAGCGAGACTGAGCGCAACTGCACCGGCAACGTGGCCACGGTCTCCATTGCGGCAAAGAACATCGAAACAAAGTGCAGCGCCTCATCGCAGAGAGGAACAAAGTGTCGAAGATGAACTTCCGTCGACTGAAACAGCGGGACGTCGAGAATTCCCCTGCTCACCTCCTCGCGAGGCGCGGCGGAAGAGGTCAGAGGCAAGCGCGCGGCTGGCTGGGAAGTCTGGAAGTCTCGGGGGCGAGCGAGTCAGACAACTCATTGTCCGCAAGCCAGAGAGACTGAAACTCCTTGCCCTCGGAGTGCAAGATCAGAGGTTAGGTCGGGCGCGTCCCCTACCGGCGGATTTTCGACGAAGAATAAAAAGCACCCCAAAAATCATCAAACGCACATGAAAAAATCAAAAACTCGCCCCCCGACGATCGTTTGACTACTTTTCGGCGGTGGACAAACCTCCCTTTGGTAAACCTCCCTTTAGTGAAAACGGCCTGGGACCGAAACCGACGGACCTGAACCCGCAAAAATGACGGCCGCGACGCCCTCCCGCGAACCGACAACGGCCAATTCCTTAATCCACGTGTCAGGGTAGGAGCTCTGCTCACCCCCGATACTCTTGAGGCTCCCCCCTGCAGAGGGACACGCCCGACTTACATCCAGAGCGGGCCTGAAACTGCCCGGCCCGCCGCGCCGAGGGCCGAGGTCTGTTCACTCGCCCCCGATATTTTTGAGGTTCCCCCCTGCAGAGGCACACGCCCGACTTACATCCAGAGCGGGCCTGAAACTGCCCGGCCCGCCGCGCCGAGGGCCGGCCGATGCCCTGCAGACGCGGCCGCCCCTCCCGCGGCCGCCCCGCCGTCTGCTCCTCGCTGCCGCGGTGGAGGAGCAGGTCGCCCAGCTCGAGGGGGCCACGTGCGAACCCTACCCCAAGACGATAAGGGGGTCGTCGAAGATGCTCCGCCATCCCCTCGATGGGGGTCGTCGCCCACTGCGGCGCGAGAGTCTCCAAAGGGGGCCTCCGACCTTCGAGATTTAGCTCGCCCGAGAGCTGTTCGCCCACTGGCACGGGGCGGCAGCTGGGACTCTTGAGAAAGAGGGGGCCACGTGCGAACCCTGCCCCTAACCCCCCACGATTTCTGAGGGGGAGGGCGGGGTTCACTTCGTTCGGGAGCTGCCGAGCGGAGTGAACCCTACCCTCCCCCTCAGAAATCGTGGGGGGTAGGGGCAGGGTTCGCACGTGGCCCCCTACCATCCCGATGGAGATCTCACCGGCGCCCTCCGAGTGCAGATGACAACCGGAAGTGGCCTCGAGAGCCCCGGGTTGGGTCTCGCGGACTCCTCAGAGGCCGAGCGCAGCTCGAGGAGCGCCGAGGGGGGCCCGAGGACCTTTTGGGCCTCCTCGAAGGGGGCCCACCCTGGCAGAGCCTGCGGGCAGGCGGACCACCCGCGGAAACACTGAGACAGACATCTGCACGCGCGCAGAACAGGATGCCGAGAAAGGGCGCTGGCCCCAGCCCGGGACGCGGGCCCACCAGACCCTTGGGAGCTCCCCGCGGCGAACAGACTCGGGGAGGGAAACTGGAAGCCGCTCCGGCAGTTGGTTCAGCTTCGGCCAGGTCAGCCCACCCACGGCGGGGCCCCGTCGGCCCCCGATAAGCATCCAGAGAACCACGTCAGGCACGCCCCCAATCTTCATGGGAAAACTCAGCAGTCGAGCCCCAATCCCGGGATCGGGGACCTTGGCCCGCAGGAGTGCCAAGTGGCAGGGGAGGCGGCCGGTCAAGCTGAAGAACTCGCAGGCCAGCCAACTTCCAGTGGAACTCCAAGCGGCGAAGGGAATGAGGCGCAACGGGGGCAGACTGGCCCGCCCAAGTCGCCTCGCCTCTTGCGCCAAACCGTTCGAGATAACAAAATAATTGGACATCTGCCTCCCCCCCATAACTCAGATAAGCGGGGGCGGCAGCCGTGGCCGACTGAGCCCCCGGCTTCCGGGCGAACTTGCAGTCCTAGCTTAACTTTAGAAGGCCCCACGTGGAAATCGCCTCCGATGACGAAGCTCTCGAGACCGCTGCTGGCGGGGGCGCCCGCGTCGAAGTGGAGCGGGAGATTGATGTGTGAAAGGCCCTCGCAGCAGCGCGCGCAGCAGGGCGCGCTCGGGATGGGGGGGAAATGCAGCCCGACATGAATGCGGGCGGCGACGGCGCGGCATATTTCAACAGCGAAGCCATCTCGAGGCCACTGTCGGCCTAGGGCTTGCCGAGCCAGAACGGCACCCCCTCCGGGAGATTCCGATTCGGAAGGCACCTTAGCTTGACCGAAACCGATTTCCAACCGCGATACTGGGCCCAGCGCTGTCCATCTGGCAAGTGGTGGGCGAGAGAGGGCGCTCCTGCAGCAGCGCCGCGCGAGCCTCCGTCTTAAGGGCCAATCCCCATCGTAACTCCAGGCCGTGCAGTTACAATTTACGAGTTTTAGGTTCACGGCGTCCCCGCCAAGGGCTGGGGGGAAAATTGCAAACTGCAAAACTTGTAATGCTCTTCTTTGAGAATGAGGGGGCGGTGGCCGTCAGGCATGATGATGGTAGAAGAGAGCGGCGGGACAGCTTCAACGCCGGTGGCTGAGCCACACATGGCTCCATGGAAGTACCAATTAAAAATGCGCGAACTGAAAGCCGACGAGCGGGCTGCTCGCATCTGCTTGCTACATAGAGCTGCGCCACGCGGAGAGCGAGAGGACTCACGAGGTGGTTCAGCATCATCATCTTCGGGATCTGCATGCGCTGGTGCCTGTCGGCTTCGAGGCTTGAGGGTGGTGGTGAACGCCGACTGCATGACGAGCTGCGCCTCCTTGGCGCCGACGCCCGCCGCGCCGGCCGCGGCCTGCGCAGCTGCTGGCCCCCCGAAGTCGGCCGCGACAGCTCGCTGGGCATCCGCCGTCGGCTTGCGTGCCGCGTCAGCGCTGGAGTGGTCCATGAGGTCGCCAACATCGTCATCGCCATCAGGAGCTTCACGTAGCGGAGCAGGCGCTGCGACCGGCAGGGAAAGGGCTGTGGGAGGCCGGCTGGCTGCCAGGCGCGCGGCTGCTTGCCGGTGCTCCATCTGGTCCTTGGCGTGGAGCAGCTGGTTGAACTGCATGGCCAGGGATGGGTCGAGACTCTGGAAGCGCTGGAAGAGAACTTTCTCGGGAGCTTGAGCCTGTGCACCATTCTCATGTTCGGGATCTCCAGCGATGATGGCCCATTCATTCTTGGACCGCTCTGCTGCCAACCGCTCCTGCTCCAGCAGCGCCTTTTGCTCAAGGCGCAGCGTGACGACGTGCTGAAGCTGTGCCTGGAGCAGCTCGCCGTCCACTGGGCGAGCTTCTGCTTGACCTGGCTGTGCACCTACTGGGCCGCCTTGGAGACGGCATGGGGGTCTCCGCTGCGCTGAACCCTAGCATCGGCAACCTGCCTTGGCTGTTCGGGGGTGAGCGAGGGGGAAGCGATGGCGTAGTGGTCCTTGGCCATGGCCGCGAAGGCGCCCGCCTGCTCTGGACTAAGTTTGGAACCCGTGCCTCACCTGCTTGCTTACCGCCTCGACGAAGAGCAGCACCCTGTTCCTTCGGGAACGGCTTCCAGCAATGTTTGCACCCCTTGTGGTGGGGGCAGTTCTTGCGGCAGGCGCAATGCGGGCAACCATCTGGCATGGCAGCGAACGAACAACCGTGGTGAAGTCCGCAAGCGCGCGCGCCTAAAGCGATCTGAGCCGATCGCTACGGAGGGGTCCACAGCCAACCGCTGGTTTTCGGGCGTCTGTAGCCCTTCACAACGTTTAGCCTTGAACCAAAAAGGCTTGAGCCAAGATGGCTACGGAGAGGAGGCGGAGGATAAAGAGAGGAAGGAGGAGGGGGAGGAGGCGCAAAGGAGGAGGAGCAGCAGGAGGATTTGTTTTACCGCTGCACTCCTCTGGCGGATGCCCTCCCTGCTCTCCGCTCCTCTTGGACGCCGACGTGCGGCGCCACGACGACGACCAGGAGTACCACGAGGTTGATCACGTACATGAACTCGCAATCTCGTGGACACGCTTCTCGAGCCAGGGCGGCCAGCACCACGGGCAGATGAGCATGCCGCACCCTCTGCACCACAATGCCTCGGAGTCGGACCCGTCGGCTTCAGCGATTACAGCCGAGCAGCCGTCGCAAGTGCGATTCTTCAACTCGGTGACCAAAAACGCGTCGACGTGTTGGACAACATGTATCGAGGTGCACGGGCCCCTCCCACCAGCCACACTGGATACGCCAAGCGACGAGTCAACGGGGAAGCACACGTTGCTGTAGCCCAGGTCGTCCCTGAAGGTGTCCGACCCAATGTCCTCTCCAGAAGGGTCCGACATGAAATTGCGATTTGAATATACGTCACCAGCGCTTGGACACCCAGCTGACTCCTCCGCGCGGTGCCCCGCCTCCTCCTCGACAGGGAACGCGGGCGGGTCGGGAGGTCTAGGGTCCCAGAGTGGCTCCCAGAGGCCCTGCAGAAGATTGGATGGGGCCAAACCAGCAGGGCGATCGGTCGGGATATGGCCACCAGGCGCGTCGGAGTCGTACGACGCCGCGTGGGCGGCCTCACATCGATCCACAAGGAGCGCCTTCATCGGCAGGTGGTAGCAGCTGCGGCACCTCAATGACGACGTGCTTGGGGACGGGCGGGACCTTTGCCGCCAGCATTGCCCCCAGGTGGGCGGCGTGCCACGCCCCGACACCCGTAGGGATCGGGGGCAGAGCCTGCGCAGGCCCGCCAGGATTGCTCAGCCAAGAGAAGGCACCGTGTGCCGCTGCATCCCGTTCTTTCTTCACGTGCACCGCGTCGATGTGGGCTTGTCTCGATAATCGAGGCTTGGCCAGCGCGAGAGCGGTCCCGAGACAATGGCCGTGAGTACCCAGGAGCGCGTCGAGCGAGGCGTGAAGCTCCAAGCCGCGGTGGAAGGCCTGGAGCCGCCGATGGAGATCGGCACGGGGGGTAAGGCAGGCCGCCGCACGCCGCCTCCGCAGCCGCCGCTGGAAGGCGCGAGCAGAAGCGCCTGCCCACGCACGCGGGGCCTCACGCGCCACCGGCGGTGGCGAGGGCCCTCCCGTAGCCATGTGGTCAAGCTTCAGCTCCAGCAGCGCCACCTCCGGAACCGGCCATGCGCAATGCGGAAATGGCGAGCAGGGGGCTTGAGACTGGCTTGAGCCAAAATGGCTACGGCCTAGGAGCAGCAGGAGGAGGCCGAAATGGAGGAGCAGGAGGAGGCCGAGACGCTGGAGGAGGAGGAGGATGCCGACGGCGAGGAGGAGGAGGAGGAGGAGGAGGAGGAGAAGACGGAGGAAGCGGAGGAGGAGGAGGAGGAGGAGGAGGAGGAGGAGGAGGAGGAGGAGGGGGAGGAGGAGGAGGAGGAGGAGGAGGAGAAGGGAGGCCGAGGAGGACGAAGAGGAGGCCGACGACGACGACGAAGACGACGCCGCCGACGCCGGGCGTATGCGCGGCGGGCGCCGAGGCGCCTGGTGGTCCACGGCCGACAAGCCCACTGGCGCAAGGCCGAGGCACCCGCCCTGGCAGCCACACCCGCCGCGCTCCTGGGCACGGCAGGCGGCCGCTGGCCGCCGCCAGAGGTGCGCCCAGGTCAGATCTGAGGGGTTCCCCTCCTCCTCCTCCCCTCCTCCTCCTCCTCCTCCTCCTCCTCCTTTTCCTCCTCCTCATCCTTCCTTCTCGGCGTCATCCTTCCTCCACCCTCTCCCTCCCTCCCCCTCCTCCTCCTCCACCCTCCCTCCCTCCCTCCCTCCCTCCCTCCCTCCATACCTCTTCCTTCTTCCTCGACCTCCCCTTCCAACTCCTCCTTCTCTTCCTCTTCCTCCTCCTTCGACTTTCGACCTGCGCACTTTTGTCTCCAAAGATGCGGCCATCGGGCCCCCCGCCGGACCGCCAGTGGGGGGTGGGGAGAACCCACAGGTAAAAAGCGAAGAAGAAATAGCAACCGAACGGCGAAGACGAAGAACTCTGAAATCGCACATGCACCTGGAGGTCTGGAGGGATGGACGGAAGGGAGGGAGGGAGGTCTGGAGGGAAGGAGGGGGGGAGGGAGGGGAGGGAGGGGAGGGAGGCAAGCTAGGTGCGCTCGCGTCATATCTGACGTCTTACCCCTCCCTCCCATCCCTTACCATGGCGCTGATTTTCTCTATCCGCGGACGCGTGTCGTAGCGGACCTGTGGCTCCGCGCGCGCGTGCGTAGTGGGTGGTGGTGCGCGTGCGTGCGTGCGTGCGTGTGTGCGTGGTTGTGGTGTGGTGGTGGTGGTGGTGGTGGTGGTGCTGCTGCTGCTGCTGGTGGTGGTGGTGGTGGTGGTAGTGCTGGTGCTGGTGGTGGTTGTGGTGGTGGTGGTGGTGGTGGTGGTGGTGGTGGTGGTGGTGGTGGTCGTGGTGGTGGTGGTGGTTTTGGTGGTGCGGCGCGGTGGTGGCGGGCGGATGGGCGCGCGAGAAAGAGGCCCGCGCTGGGGCGAGAACGCCATCCTGAACGACGGAGGCCAAACACCGATCAAGAAATGAGGCCCACGCTGCAGCGGGAGCACGATTCGGAACGATTCGGGAGCAGAAATGAGGCCGGCGCCTCAGCGAGAGCAGCATTTTGAAACAAAACGCAAGCGAAAACCCAACTCCCGGGAATCCTGTGTAAAAAACCAGTACGCGGGGGGGGTCGGCTACTTTCAGGCCGCCATCGGGGGAAGAGGGAGAGTAGTATTCATATTGAGTAATTGTGGAGGGAGAAGAAAGGGAGGGAGGGGAGGGATGGGAGGGAGGGAGGAGAGGGAGGGCCTTGGAGGTTTGGAGGGAGGGAGGGAAGGGGAGGCTGCCTGTGGTGGCGGCGTGCGCGTGCGGCAGGGGCCCGAGCGTGAACCCCAGCACCCCCCCCTTTGACGGGAGCGGAGGCTCGCCTCGGCACGAATCGCCCGAAGCGGAACCCTCCCGTCCTCGAGGAGAGGCGGAGGAGGAGGAGGAGGAGGAGGAGGAGGAGGAGGAGGAGGAGGAGGAGGGGGAGGAGGAGGAGGAGAGAGGAGGAGGAGGAGGAGGGAGGAGGAGGAGAGTAGGAGGACGAGAGGAGGAGGAGGAGGAATAATAAGAGGAGGAAGAAGAAGAGGAGGAGGTGGAGGAGGAGGAGGATGAGGAGGAGGAAAGGGAGGTGAGCGTCACGGGCACAATGCGGCGCGGCGGCTGCGCGGCAGGAGCGGGCAGTACTGTGCTTTTTTTTTGGGGGGGGGGGCGAGGAGGGCACTGAAGCGCGTGGTGGCGGTAGGTAGCAAAGCACCCTGGCGTGAGTGGAGGGGGGGGGCGCAAGAAGTGGGCGTAAACGGGGGAAACAGGTGGAGGAGGTGGCCCGAGCGGAACTCCTGCCCCCCGAAGAGGGGGAACGAGGGCCCCCCTCGGCCTGGCTCGAAGGTGGGCGCGGCCGTGCGGTCCACGGCCGCCACGGGGGCTGTGGCCCCCCCCCCCCCCACGGCGGCTTGTGCCGAGCACAGCGCTGTTGGTGTCCCCTTCGCGCCCGCATTCTCCCCGCGCGCCCCCCTCGCATGGCGGCGGCTGGTGGAGCGGGGCGGGGTGGAGGAGGACAGCGAGCGAAGCGCGGGGGCGGCGGGGCTGCAGGAAGAAGCGGTGAGGGAGGGGAAGGTTAGTTGAGCCTGGAGGTGCCTTCTTAGAAGTGGTAAGAGAAGGGGTCGCCGAGGTCCAAGGAGTTCGCAAGATGGCAGTAGAGAAAGTACTGGTGGTGCCTGCGTAGGCGTCATCCCACGCAACTCCTCCACAAGTTTCGACCACGTCGCACAGCAATCCCATTCCTGATTGAAGGCTGCGTTGCCCAGCAAGTGGGCCAGAGCCTCAAAGTCTCCCTCGGGAACTTGCAAGCTGGATCTCGAGACTGAGTTTTAAGCCGATCAAAATTGTTAAGCTTCTGCCTGACATTATGTGGCCTAGTGCAACGCCGAGCACCACGTGGCGCAGCTTGAGAATACCTGAGCGACGTGTAAGTGCGGCGCCAGCACGATTATCATTGAACTTTGCGATGCAATCGAAGATATAAAGAAAGACTTTGCGCACGACCGTACGATCAAGAAGGCCATGGTGAGGAAATCGGGGTATCCCAAATGGGGCCCGACAAAATCCTAGATGGGGTCGGGCATTCGCGCTCTTTCAGATAGTTCACTTCTCGGGCCCCATCTGGGAGGCGTAGAGGAACGGGCGGACCGTCCCGAGGCGAACGCTGCGCAAACAAACGTTCGTGACATGGTCAGGGGAGCCGTGAGGCGCGGATTGCGTGTTAGGCGCGGGCCGTCTCGGGCGTGCCTGGACTGAGAGGGGGCGCGACAACCTCTACGGTCAGGGCCGCCCAAAGCGAGTGCGCCCGATGACCGACGAAGACAAGCAGGAACAAGGTGGGCCATCTCACCACGACCAGCTTGAGGACTTAAAGGGAGGAGGAGGACGAGGAAACGGAACGGATGCGGAGTTCTGTGTAAGGGCACAGGAATGGAGGAGGAGGAGGAGGAGGAGGAGGAGGAAGAGGAGGAGGAGGAGTAGGAGTAGGAGTAGGAGGAGGAGGAAGAGGAGGAGGAGGAGGAGGAGGAGGAGAAGGAGGAGGACGAGGAAAAGGAGGAGAAGGACCAGTGTAAACCCAAGAGTCATCAACGATGTTGTAATACACCCTCCCTCCAAGCTGCCTCTTCACAGGCCCCTACAACGGCTCCTTTCCATTGAGGGAGCTGCCTCGTTGGAAGACACCCGTTTGAAGACCCTGAAGCATGCCAAAACATTGTTCTCGGGATTATAACGCCATGGATTAACCTGATTGTTGCGTAGTGACTATCCTGAATCGTGCCAGAGCGCCATTCTTGGGACTTCCGCATACCGAATGAACGTAGCTGTTGCACCCTCATAATCCTGAGTCCTTCCAACGCGCCATTTCTTGTACGTTGATCATGGGAACCCGCTACAACCTGGCAGATGTTTAAAACGAATGCGCGCGGCGCTAAGGCGTGAACCACACTTTGCAAACGGGTTCCCTTCAATCCGTGAAACTCTTGCAAAAAATTAGAACGAATGTGCTCGGCGCTAATGCGGGAGCCACATTTTGAAAACGGGTTCCCTTCAATCCGTGAAGCTCTTGCAAAAATTTAGAACGAATGTGCGCGGCGCTAAGAGAGAGAGAGAGAGAGAGAGAGAGAGAGCCACATTTTGAAAACGGGTCGCCCTCAATCCGTGAAGCTCTCGCAAATGTTTAAACGAATCTGCGCGGCGCTAGAGGGAGAGCCACATTTTGAAAACGGCCCGCGTTCCATCTGTGAGACCGTTGCCAATTTTGAAGCTTCAGAGTCACTCGTGAGGAGGAGGTCTCAGGCGAAACGCCCGGCCCGCCCTGAAAACTGGCCTCGGGGTGCGACGGGGACAAAAGATGCACAAGGGAAAGAAGTGGAGCAGGACGAAGAGGGCGAGGCCCTCTGCCGCGACGGGCCGCGGCCCGCGCGCGCCGACCGAGGGCGCCCCTCCACGGCCGAGGCCCCCCGCGGCCGAGCCCCATCTGCGGCCGCCGCGCCCCGAGGCCCGCGCGGCTCCTGCTCCGCGGGCTCGCCGGCGGCGCCCGGGGGCCTCCTCGGGGGGCGCGGGCCGCCGCCGAGGCCGCGTCGCGGAGGGGCGGCCGCGGAGGGGGGCCGGCTCGCGGCCGATCCGCGGGGGCGCACTCGCGCCGAGCGTCGCGGGGGCCGCGGCCCGGGCGGCGGAGGGCCTCCTCGGCGGGGCGGCGGCGTCGGCCGTGGAGGGGGGGGCGCGGAGGGGGCGGCCGCGGAGGAGGCGGCCGCGGAGGGGGCGGCCGCGGAGGGGGACGGCCCGGAGGGGGCGGCGCGGAGGGGGCGGCCGCGGGGGGGGCGGCCGCGGGGGGGGGGGGCGGCCGGCCGCGGAGGGGGCGGCCGGCCTGCTGCCGCTGGCCTCCTGGGGCTCGCAGAACCCCAGCAGCTCGAGAGGCTCGAGAGCCAGAGGTTTTTCGTGGTTTTCGGCCTCTGGGGGCCGGCGATTGAAAACGGCTATAGGGGTATGCACAAACTGGCTCCAGGGCACCGCTCCAGACCTCCAGGGGCCCCTCATGGGGAGGAACTCGAGACATCGGATGTGCGGGCTCCCCGCCACGGCGCGTCCACAGCCCCCTTTACATCTGCATCTGCTGCTCAGCCCGTCCTCCTCTTCCCTGGCCAGTCTTCTTCTCCTCCTCTTCCTCCTCCTCCTCTTCCTCCTCCTCCTCCTCTTCCTCCTCATTTTCCTGCTGCTCTTATCCTCCTCGTCCGCCTCCTCCGCGTCCTCCTGCTGCTCCTCCTCCTCCTCCTCCTCCTCCTCCTCCTCCTCCTCCTCTTCCTCCTCCTCCTCCTCCTCCTCTCCTCCTCCCTCCTAATCTTCCTCCTCCTCCTCCTCCTCCTCCTCCTTCTCCTCCTCCTCCTCCTCTTCCTCCTCCTCCTCCTCCTCCTCCTCCTACTCCTTTTACACTTTGCGCGTCTTGCGGCCGCGCGGTCTCGCCCGCGCGCCCGCCCCCGCCCGGGCCACGCGGGTCAGAGGGTCTAAGTATCGCCGGCGCGGCCGAGGCGGCCCGAGGAGCCGCTGGCCACCTGGCGGAGCTCCCTCCATGGCCGAGGCGCAGCAGCGCGGGCAAGGCAGCCATGCCGGAGGGGGTCGGCCCGCCGGAGGCCCTCGTCCTCCTCCTCCTCCTCCTCCTCCTCCTCCTCCTCCTCCTCCTCCATCCTCCTCTCCTCATCCGTCCTCCTCCTCCTCCTCCTCCTCCTCCTCATCCCCTTCCTCCTCCTCCTTCTCCTCCTCCTCCTTCTCCTCCTCCTCATATTCCTCCTCCTCTTACCTTCCTTCTCCTCCTCGGGCTCTTCTCCTTGGCCTTCCTTCTTATCATCCTGCTCATGCCCCAAACAGTGCTTGCACTTAGGGCCTCCTACGTCGTTTCTAAGGTAACTGTCCCCAGTGCCGACCTGGCCAGCTTGTGGCCGCCCCTGGCCGCCGTCCGTCGCTGCTGTCCATCGCCGCCGTCCCCCGCCGCCAATTGCTTTGCGTTGCTTTGCGTTGCTTTGCGTTGCGTTACATCGCATTGCGTTGTGTTGCATCGCTTAGCATTGCATCGCGTTGATGTGTACTGCTTTGCATGGCTTTGCATTGCATTGCTCTGCATTGCAACGCATTGCCTTGCATAGCTTGGCAATTGCTCTGCACTGCTTGGTATTGCGACGCATCGCTTTGCATTGCGTTGCACGGCGGAAATTTACACTGCTTTGCAGTGGCCTGCAGTACTTTGAGCCACATCGCTTGTACCACATGGATTGCACCACCTAGATTGCACCGCATAGATTGCAAGAGGTCGCTGTTTTGCGTCCATGCTGGCTAACACGTTCACCTTCGCAACTTCATATGTCATAAAAAACATCATTACCACCGTCAGCATCATCATCGCCACCACCAATCACGATTACCATCATGGGCACCACCACCACCACCATCATCATCATCATCCTCCTCATCCTCCTCATCCTCCTCATCCTCATCATCAACATCATCAGCATCATCATCAGTATCATCATCATCGTCACCATCAGCCAACACCAACACCAAACTCGGCGTTATCATCACTATCACCATCACCATCACCATCACAATCATCATCACCAACATTACACTCAGCATCACCACCACCACCATCATCATCATCATCATCATCATCATCATCATCATCATCATTATCAGCATCATCATCATCATCACCATCACCATCACCATCACCATCACCATCACCATCATCATCATCATCATCATCATCATCATCATCATCATCATCATCATTATCATCATCCTGATCATCATCATCATAATCAGCATCAGCATCATCAGCATCATCATCATCATCCCCATCCCAACCCCCGTCCGCATCATCATTGTCATTGCCATGATGATCATCATGATCATAATGATCGTCATGATCAGGATCGTCATCATGATCATCAGCATCATCATGATCATGCTCATCATCAGCATCATGATCACCATCATCATCATCGTGATCATCATGACCACCATCATTCTCCTCCTCCTCTTCATCATCATCCTCCTCATCCGCATCTTCATCATCATCACCAGCATCAGCATCAACATCAGCATCATCATCATCATCATCAACATCATCATTACCATCATCATCATCACCATCATCATCATCATCAGCATCAGCATCAGCATCAGCATCAGCATCAGCATCATCATCATCATCATCATCATCATCATCATCATCATCATCATCATCATCATCATCATCATCCACATCCTCATCCTTCTCCTCCTCCTCCTGCTCCCCAGTCCTCTTCCTCATCACTTCCTCTCCTTGACCTCCCACCCCTGCCTGGGCGTGCTGTCGGGAGGAGCGCGATCCTGGCCAGCGTCTGCTCGGGGACGAGCAGGTCGCAGGTACGGCGGTCTGGGTCCTCTTCAGGAGCGCCATGCCGCGTGCTCCTCCTCCTCCTCCTCCTCCTCCTCCTCGGCCTCGGCCTCGTTGCCCTCGTCCCCGCTGCCCTTGCACAGCTCGTCGCTGCCCTTGTCGTTTGCCTCCTCCCCCCCCTCCTCCTCCCCCTCCCCCTCCCCCTCCACCTCCTCCTCCTCCTCCTCCTCCTCCTCCTCCTCCTCCTCCTCCTCCTCCTCCTCCTCCTCCTCCTCCTCCTCCTCCTCCTCCTCCTCCTCCTCCCCCCAGCGCGCCCGAGCGGAGGGGCGTGCGGCCATGCGACTCCTCCGCGCCATCGCCCAGCTGGAGGGCCACACGGGCCAGGGCTCGACGGGCCTCGCCCGCGCGCTCCGCCTGGCGTTTCAGGACGCGCCAGCCGAGGCCGCCGCGAGCGCCCGCCCCGTGCCACCGTCCAGGCCCCGCACCGGGCGAGCGGGACGGTGCCCATGCCGTGGCGGCAGCGCCGAACTGGCTCCGCCCCAGGCCCGCGCTGTGCCGGCGGCAGCCGAGGCAGCGGCCGTCGCTCCCCGCCGCGCCCTGCGAGCAGGAGGTGCGCCACAGGCCGCGCGGGAGCCGACGGGCGCACACGACGGCGTCGCCGGGTCCGCGGCGGCGGGGGATGCAAGGGCCGAGCGGGAGAACCGCTCGGAGCGTCGTCGGCTCTGTCGTGGCGCTCGGCTGCTACGCGGCGCCCCGTCCCGTCCAGCACGACCTGGCACGTCGTCGCGCAGCTTCGGGGAGGCGGTCGCCGCCGTGGCCATGGCCGCGCCGCGGCCCGCGCCGCCGCCCATGGGGAGCCCCGATTGCAGGAACTCGTGACATGATGGTCGTTGGCAGGCCTGGGGTGCTTCGGGCAGCGGCGTGGTCATCGCTCGCCTGCCATTCTTCCTGGAAGTGTTCATCGCGGAAACAAGGCCTGACCAGCGCGAGTGCGCCTCGCGGGAGGGCCAGTGCCGCGGCTGAGTGCTCCTGGGGGAGCCACATGAGTACGCCTCTTTTCGGAGTCAGTACCGCGCCTCCCTACGGTCGGGAACATTTGCTTGGCGTGTCGCCGCGGCGGCCCTGGCGACACGCGATGCCCTGCGAGCGGATAGCGTCTTGCTCCGCTCCGCGGGGCGGCAGGCCAGAAAAGGCTCGGGATAGTGACGCTCGGGGACTGGAAAGTGGATAGCGTGTCGCTCCGAACCGTGGTGGGCCAGGACAGGCGGAGCGACGCGCCATCCGAAAGTGCCCGACCGCACTCGCGGAAGGGGGCCCCCTAAAGGGAGAGGCCTCGTCTTCGCTGCGATTCTCGTCATCGTCGGCTCGTTTATGCCTGTGCAGCCTTGTCGGTGTTGTGCCCCCCCTCTGCTATTGGGCCTTCTCGGCTGGAGGAACATGAGCGTTGTCGTGAGCTTCGCACGGGCGATGCGTATTACATTCCTTTTCAAGTTTTGGGTTGCGCAAAAAGATGAACAGTCATTTAGTCTCCAAGCGGGGCGTCCCTAAGTTCATCGTCGTGGCGCTCGGCCTCATCGTCGTTGTGTCCGCGGTGCTCACGGGGGATGCAGTGCTGTAATCTGATCTCGTCATGGTGTCCACTCCACTACACTCTTTTTTCTCCGCCTCGTCCTCCTCCTCCTCCTCCTTCCCCCTGTCCTCCTCGTCCCGGAGCATACGTCCACGACTCTGAAATCCTGCAACGCTTACATGAATGGAGGGCCTGTGCTTCTCAAAATGTGCCTACCCTGGGCGTGCTTCAAGTGGAGGGAGGATCCTTTACAACAGGCGCCCTCGTCTGACTGGCGGGCCGACTGGCCGCTCGTCATTTAAGGGGGGCCGAGCTGGAAAGGAACACTTGTATGGACTTATGTGGAGAGGGCTTGAAACTTGAGGGTGTGTGCATCGGTTGAAGCGTCTTGGGGTTCTCTGATCCCCTTCCCCTCTGAATATCCCGACTCCTCCTCCTCCCCCTCCTCCTCCGACATTCCTTGTCCTACGTGCTGGCAGGGCGGGCCAGGCGTTTCACCTGATACGGCCTCAGCACTTCTGATTCAGAAGCGGAAGTGCAGCAGCAGCAGCTTCACGGTTGGAGGGTGGGTGGTTTTCAAAATGTGGCTCTCGACGATGCGCCGCGCGCATTCGTCTCGTAAACTCGCGCGAAGTTCATGGATGGGAGGGGGCATCGTTTTCAGAATGTGGCACTCGCCTTTTGCGCCGCGCGCGTTCGTCGCAAAGCTTACAATATTCTCACGGATTCAACGCGAATGGTGTTCAGTATGTGGCTGTCGCCTTTGCGCCGCGCGCGCTCGCTTTAAACATTTGTAAACTATTCACGGATGGAGGGCGATTCTTTTTTCAAGAAGTGATGATCGCCTCAGCGCCGCACGCAATCGTCTGAAATGTTTGCAAGACCTTCACCGATGGGGTTCAATCGTTTTCAAAATGTGACTCTCGCTTTTGTGCCGCGCGCATTCGTCTTTAATTTTTGCAAGGGTTATACGGATGGAAGGAGGACGGTTTTCAAAATGTGGTTATCGCCTGAGCGCCGCGCGCATTCGTCTTAAAGCTTGCAAGAGTGTCGCGGGTGGAGGGCGGGTCGTTTTCAAAATGTGGCTCTCGCTTTTGCGCCGCGCAGATTCGTCTTACAAATTTGCAAGAGGTTCAATGAAAGGCAGTGGCTCCTTTGCTAAATGTGGCTCTCGCCTCAGCGCCGCGCGCTTTCGTCTTAAACATGAGCAAGACTTTCAGGAGTTGAGAGCGGATGGATTTCATCACGTGGCCCTCGCCATTGCGCCGCGCATATTAGTCTTAAAAGTACGCATGAACTTCGCTGATCGAGGGCGGTTTCTTTTCATAATGTGGCTCTCGCTTTTGCCCCAGGCGCATCTGTGCATATTCGGGACAACGGCTTCCTTTCAAAGCGTGGTTATCGCCCTTGCGCCGCGCACGTCCGTCGTAAAGTTTGCATGCGCTTCACGGATGGAAGGAGGCTGGTTTTACACATGTGGTTACCGCCTTCGCGCCGAGCGTATGGGCTTTCAGGAGCCACGAGAACTTCACGGTTGGAAGGCGCTTTTTCTTTAAAGTGCGGTTCTCGCGTCAACGCCGCGCACATTAGCCCTAACAACTTACAATCGTTTAACGGGTTTGTATGGTTGACGTCCCAGAAACGGTGTTCCAGCACGATTTTGCAATGTAAAGGCGCGACAATCACGTTGATTCGTGGTGTTGAAGTCCCAGAAATGGCGTTCAGGCACGATGGAGTATGGTCAGGATGCAACCGTGTAAAATTGATTCGCGGCGTCGAAGCCCAAGAAATGGTGTTTTGGCACGGTTGACGATTCTCGGACGGTTGTCTTCTCACGGGGCGATTCCAACAGTGATAACTAATACTCATAGGGCTGTATGAAGAGGGAACTTGAAGGGAGAGGGGGTAATTGAGACATCGTTGATGCGCCTTGGGTTTACATTGATCCTCCTCCTCCTCCTCCTCCTCCTCTTCCTGCTCCGCTGCGCACCGCGGGTCCGCTTGCCGCGGGCGCACGGTGTCTGCGAACTGGCGCCCCCCCCACCCCAGGCACGATCCACCGCTCAGCGGTGGCCGCTCCAAGAGAGGAGGGGGTGCGCCCGATGGGGCCTATAGAATCCGCTACCAGGGACCAGCAGGGACACCTCTGCCCCGGCGGCCCGCGCAGCGCCGCCAGCGCGTGGCCCTCCTCTTCTTTCTCCTCCTCCTCCTCATCCTCCTCCTTCTCTGTTCCTCCTCCTCCTCCTCCTCCTCCTCCTCCTCCTCCTCCTCCTCCTCCTCCTCCAACTCGTCTCCTCCTCCCTCCTCCTCCTCCTCCTCCTCCCCCCCTCCCTCCCTCCTCCTCCTCCTCCTCCTCCTCCTCCTCCTCCTCCTCCTCCTCCTCCTCCCCTCCCCCTCCTCGTCCTCCTCCTCCTCCTCCTCCTCCTCCTCCTCCTCCTCCTCTTCCTCCTCCTCCTGTGGCGGAGCAACCGCTTGTGGTGGTGTTCCCACTTCAATTTGCCGGGCGGTGCCGCAGGTTGGTGGGCACCACCTCGCCGCTGTGGCTGGTCCTGACCCTGCCGAGACCAAACAAAATACGCATCACGCCATGGCATCTCCTGGCGGTGGAATGTGGCTTCACAGTGGAAGCAGGGCGCCCTGTTCGTGAAGCTCCACCTGCGTCTGCGTACGCTGCACGAGATGAAGCCTGTAGCATCTCTGCCCATCCGCCCGAAAGAGATCTAGGTCCACAGCGATGGGGGCGGCGCGCACAAAAGGGGTAGGGGGAGGAGGGAAGGCTTCTTAGGAGGCTGCTTCTTAGAAGGCGCCAGCCTTAGATCTATAGAGAAGTCCCGCGCCTTTAAAACAACAGGGGTGTTTCTAAAAAACCCTCCCCTCTCCCCCCACCCCCCTCTGCGCGTGGCCGAGATGGGGGCCCGACCCCCAATGCAATGGCCTGATGTGCATGAGAACTGCCAGGCTGGCCTGGCCGAGCCCGTGGGGCTGCTGACTCCCCTTGCCAGTCGCTCGCGTCCTGAGCCTCCCGCTGCGGACTTGAGCCAACAGAGGAGGAGTAGGAGGATAACTGGTGTAAGCCCAAAACGCATCAACAATGTTGCAGTACAGCCTCGTTCCAAGCTCCCTCTTCGCAACTCCTTGCAATAATTTATTGTCGGTGCGGGAAGTGCCCCTTTGGAGGACAATTGTCAGAGAACCCGCGATCGTTCCCAAACACCGTTCCTGGGACTTCCACGCGTGCGTGAATCAACGTGACTGTTGCGTCGTGGCGATCCTGAACAGTGTCAGAACACCGTTCCTCGGGCGTCAGCACCGCCAAGTAACGTGACACTTGCGCCGTGACAATCCACAACCGCACAAGAGCACCATGTCGGGGACGCCGGCCATATGACACCGTTGAACTGATGTAAGCTGCCAAGATCGATGCGCGCGGCGCTAAGGCAAACACCGCCTTTGTAAAACGAGCCGCCTCCATCAGT